GGAAATAATTCTTGTTTTTAACAAGGGGTCCGAGGTCCTCAGATTAGGCGGAGTCACTGATTGGATCCAAGACCAGCGACGTAATGATCCCAAGGATTCCATATCCGGGACCAGGCCATATCCTGAGCTGCTGCTGCGCTGATGGTCGTGGGGAGTGGAGAACATGAGTCTGATTCCAGCGATGCTCCAGGGACAGACGAGTCTTCATTGAGGCCATCTTCCAGCATAAACCACGGCGAATGAAGTTCTGCACAAGACTTTTGGCCAGCGGAGAAATTAAAATGGTCGTGCCCAACTGAGTCTGGTTCCCTCAAGGTTTTTTTTCTTCACTCCCATCAGGTGAAGTTTTTTTTCCCTCTCCGCTGTCGCCACTGCCTCGCATGGTTCAGGACTGGTAGAGCTACGCATCGATGAATTTGCTCTTCAGTGTTTGAACTCTCAGTAATGATTAAATCACACTGAACTGAGCTAAACTGAACTGAACTGAACTTAAACACTAAAACTTGAACCACACTGTTCCAGTTACTGAACCACACTGTTCCAGTTACTATGACCATTTATGTGAAGCTGCTTTGACACAATCTACATTGTAAAAGCGCTATACAAATAAAGCTGAATTGAATTGAATTGAATTGAATTGAAATTTGATATACAAGTATTTTTTTTATTTATTTCACGATTATTTAGCTTGTTTTAAGGTAAAACTCACTTCATTTTGTCTCATTATTTCTGAAAACAAGACTGTATTGTATTGCTTGTCTAGAAATGCTTCTTGATTTAAGAACTTTAGGATATTTGGACTGTAAACAAGACACAAACTCTAAATAATAAAAGTATTTGTTCGCAGTGCAGTGATCCTATTGGTTGTCTGACGTTTTAAAAGGTAAATTTTATAGCACCTGATTACAATTCCAGTGAACTCATGTTCTGATTTCTATAATGCACAATGGTTTATAATAACTGTTATAGCCAACCAGTTTAGGCATGTTGAAGATTGGGGATTTTTTACCAGGGCATTAGGAACAAAACCAACTACAACAACACATTCTGTGGAACTCAAGGGCTGCTTTTCAATACTCAAACTCTTCTGTTGTGTTCAACTATAAGATCAAACAGCTTTGAAATAAGTGGAGGATGACAGAATGTTCATTCCCATTTAATCATATAGATTAGAGTTAGTTAGTCCGTTTAATCATTGATTAGTTGATTTCCATTTACTCCATTTAATTCCATTTAATCATGCTTTCTGATGTGTTTACCATACTTTCAATGTTAAAAACCCTGTAAAATGCTCTCTCTGCTAAATTGTAATGCTACAGTAAAAATCTGTAACCTAAGTTTCCATAATACATGCGGTGAATAACCATACAGTTACTATACATGTTTCTTCCGTTTATCTGATATAAAGCTATGAATTAATGAAATACAGCTGTTTACTGTAAAAAAGTTCTTATCACATTTTCTACTGTATTTCTCATGGTGAAGTTCACAGCTGTCTTTTTTACTGTATTTTTTAAATATATTTTTACAGGGTGTTTATTCAGTTCATCTGATAAAATACTATGAATTAATGAAATATGGTAGTTTACTGTCAAATTTAGAAAATTCTTTTGCGATTTCTACTGTATTTTAAGTTCACCGCTGGCATTTTTACTATGATATTTACAGATTGTAAAAAAATTATTCAATTCATCTGATATAATACTATAAATTACTGAATTACGGTAGTTTACTGTCAAATTTAGAAACTTCTTTTATATTTTCTACAGTATTTTTAATGGTAAAGTACTGGCAACCACTGTTTTACTGTAAATTTGATGGATTTTCTCTTGACTGTATTTCCTTAGTTTATCTGATTTAAATATATGAATTAATTAAATACGGTTGATTACTGTAATATTTAGATAGTTCTTACTACATTTTTTTACTGTATTTTTTATGGTAAAGTTCACAGCTGTCTTTTTTACTGTATTGTTAATATATTTTTTACAGGGTGTTTATTCAGTTTATCTGATAAAATACTATAAATTAATTAAATACGGTAGTTTACTGTCAAATTTAGAAAATTCTTTTGCGATTTCTACTGTATTTTAAGTTCACAGCTGGCATTTTTATTGTGATATTTACAGATTGTCTAAATTATCCAGTTTATCTAAAGTAAATACGGTAGTTTACTATAAAATATGGAAAATTTATTTGACAGTTTTTACCGTATTTTTAACGGTAAAGTACTGGCAACCACTGTTTTTTTTACTGTAAGTCTTAGAGATTTTTTACTGAGTTTTTTCTGAGTTTTTTTTTTTATTTAATACTATAATGAAATAACATTGTTTGCTGTAAACATTTTGAAAATCCTTTTACGATTTCTAATGTTACTAAATGGCAAAGTTCACAGCGCCGTAAATTTTACAGATTTTTTATACAGTGTAGATTTATAGTATGTTAATTTTGTTTATCTGATACAGTATTATACATTCATCAAATACAGTAGTTTACTGTACAATTTAGAAAACTCTTTTAAGATTTCTATCGTATTTTAATGGTGAAGTTCACAGCTGCCGTTTTTTACTGTAAATTTTTACAGGTTTATTTTACAGTGTATTTATTCAGTTTAGCTTGTGTTACTGTTATTTTAAACCCTGAGTACTCAGACAGGAGACGCCAGTTTGTGTCCTCAGGTAAACTGTTCACGTCAGAACTGAATGTACCAGATGTGGAGACAGTAATGAACGTGTGTGTGTGTGTGTGTGTGTGTTACTGTCAGAGCAGGTGTGTTCTTTAGGTGTGTCCCTGTAAACGGTGATTCATCTTCAGCAGAAAACACACCTCCTATTATCAACACCTTTCTCTTGTATTCACACTGTACATCTGACAGACAGCAAAATACACTGTAAATATATGGAAATTGGCAGTACATTATGAGACATTAATATTTCCCTCAGCAACATTTGATGATGAAAAGTGGACAAAGTGACTCTTATTGACTTTTTTAATAGTTTGTGTTATTAAAATAGCCTGCCATTATTTGTTCTGGTATTTTACAGGCGTATTTCTGTATCTGTTTTTTCTTATACAACATATTGTTTCAAACTAGCAAAATGTCAATAAAAGTCACGGTAGGGTTGAATTTTTAACATACAAATTCGACAGAGCAGAGATAAAAGTCCCTTAATGCAATTAATAACTGTAAATATATTGAAATGTAAAGCACTACACACATTAGGATTTACCTGTAATCGTTTTCTCATTGTAAATTTAAAATAGCAGGTTTATAATAATAATAATAATTTATATCGTTTTGGTAATACTATCATTGTTAAAGCCATGCTTTTGTCTTATTTAACCAGATCATTCAGCTGTTGTTTTTTTTAATGTATTAATGTATGTAAACATGTATTGTTTTTGTGTATTAAAATATCATCTTTCTGTGGTTTTAGTGTTTGTGATGAGCAGTTTTTTTTAGGAATGTCAAATAAATAATATCTGTAAATATCAGGCGCCCAGAAATAATTAAATAAAAACTTTAATAATAGGTGAACCACAAAACCAGTCATAAGAGTATTTTTTTAATTGAGATTTAAGCATCAGATGAAAACTGAATAAATAAGTTTTGCATTGATGTATAGTTTGTTAGGACTGAACAATATTCGACTGGGATACTGTTGAAAATCTGGAGTTTAAACGTGCAAAATAATTAAAATAGTGAGAAAACCACCTTTAAATTTGAACTTTTAAGTTTTTAAAATTCATTACACTAACCCAAAAATATTAATATATTTACAGTAGGAAACTTACAAAAAATTACTTAATTTCACTTGATTTTTATTATTAATATTAATAAATGTTATTATTAATATTCGAAAGATTTTTTGCACCCATACAATTTCATTTTGCAGATTACTGCAGCATCACAAATAAAAACATTAGAAACTAAACACTTAATTTGTAAAGTTTGTAAAGTCATTTTATTGACTTTAATTTATTTTAATAAGTTTGATCACAACTTTTAAAGCAGCATAAAAATATTTGTTGTCATTTATTATTTTTACAGAGTGCGCTGCCAGAAAAGGTTATTAGTTTACAGTAATATTACACTGGTAACACCTAAATAAGGTGGTAATATCTAGTAATAATAATTAGAGAATGAATGCATATTCAGATTGTGTACAATTTTTCTCCTGTGCCTTTAAAATAAAAGTCCGCTGTAAAATATATTCTCAAGAAGTCACGACAACATAAGTTTTTATGTTGCTTTAACTTATTTTAAATGTTTCCCAGAGATGGGTTGCAGCTGGAAGGGCATCCGCTGCATAAAACGTGCTGGATAAGTTGGCGGTTCATTCCGCTGTGGAGACCCCAGATTAATAAAGAGACTACGCCGAAAAGAAAATGAATGAATGAACTTATTTTAATAATTTTAAAATGTATTTATTTTTGTTATACACATTTTAACTTGACATGTTAAGTCATTTTAATTTATCAGAACTAATTGAATTAATTTTGATTCAACCTAAAATTATCAACATATTACTGTGTATAGAACGCCAACGGGGTTGACACGTTGGCTCAGTGGTTAGCACTGTGGCCTCACAGCAAGAAGGTTGCTGGTTCGCTTCCCGACTGGGTCAGTTGGTGTTTCTGTGTGGAGTTTGCATGTTCTCCCCGTGTTGGCGTGGGTTTCCTCCGCAGTCCAAACACATGCGCTATAGGGGAATTGATTCACTAAATTGGCTGTAGTGTGTGAATGAGTTTGTATGGATGTTTCCCAGTACTGGGTTGCAGCTGTAAGGGCATCCACTGTGTAAAACATATGCTGGAATAGATGGTGGTTCATTCCGCTGTGGCAGTCCCTGATGAATAAAGGCACTATAATTAATAAATTAATGAATAAATAAACTTGACTTGATTAAACTTCAAAATATTGAATGTTTTACAGCGTATTGAAGGCCATAGTACCTTTAAAATCTAGATGGAAAAGAAATATTACAATAAAACACTAATTTTCATTGCAAAACTCCCTTTTATTAAAGAATGGTTTACAATTCAGATCACAGAGAACCACAAAACAGTGAAAACTCTAGAAAAAAGCTTCAAAAACCTACAAAGTTTACAGCTAAAATAGACTTCTTTAAATTGGTATTAAATTGTTTTACATTTATTTGTCTAAGAAAAGCGTACTGTCAGGATGACAGTCATTTATTTAGTGTTTTTAAGCACCTCAAGGTTAAAACTCCTTATTTACTGACAAAAAACTCAAATATACACATTCTGCTCCAACAGTGAGATAACTTTAGGGAAATGTGCAATAAATCTGCATGTCTAAACAACAACAATGACGTCCAGCACATGGAATGATGCATCAATTAATATAAAGCACAGTTACATCGTCAAAAATCTCAATGTTAATATGAAGAGAAGTTCAAGAAAATATACAAACAACAAAACTCTCAGTCGCACTTCACACAGCAGGTTACAGCGTCAATTCATGCATCCAGAAACTACATAATAATGCGATTACTGTACTTCCTAAATTAATTTTTACAAGTCATATGCCACAAACAGCTAAAGAAAATACATAACACACACAGAAATCTTGATATATGGTAATATATGCTAATTACATATATGACGTACAAGTATATATGCAACATATATTTTAAAATAATACAAAAATGACTTTTTTAAAAATAATTTTATTATTTATATAAACCATTTAAACCATTTGAATTGTAAATATATATTATAAATAATATGCATGTATATGTTAGCCATAATGTGTGTTCATATATGACTATACATGTTTTATATATGAAATTAATATATAAAATTTGAATATGAGATATAATCAATTTGCATATATTAACACGTATCATATTTCAATATGGAAGAGATGAATGTACACCTGTTAAAGGGACAGTTCACGCAAAAATGTTCCATCGTTTACTCCAAAATGCACTCAGTGACTTCAATAGTATTTTTGTCCTACTATTTATGTCAGTGGCTGCTTTTCTCCACCATTTTTCTAAATATCTTCTTTTGTGTTCAACAGAAGAAAGAGACTCACATGAGGGAGAATAAATGTTGAATGTAGTTTCACTTTGGGTGTGCTATCCCTTTAAATGACACACTTTGCGAATAAATGAAATAAAAACAGACTAAAATGAACCTCAATTGCCCCAAAAGTGAGACAAAATGCCATTTGTGTTGCATATCACACATGTAATGTGCATATATTTCCACCTATCAGAATTAACTATGGGAGAGATGCATGTATACCTGTTAGAGGGACAGTTCACGCCAAAAATCTCACCTACAAATGCACCCACTGACTTCCATGTGTTACTATAAAAGTCAATGGCTGCTTTTCTCCCCCATTTTTCTAAATATCTTCCTTTGCATTCAAAAGACGAAAGACATTCACATGAGGGAGAATAAATGATGAATTTAGTTTTATTTTTGGGTGCGCTATCTCTTTAAATGACACACTCTGTGAATGAATATTAATAAAAAAATAATAAAAAACTGACAGAAAATGAAGCATAATTGCCCCAAATGTGAGTCAAAAGGACCCATGTACTTGTATGTCAAAGATGTAATGTGCATATATTTCCACCTATCAGATTTCTCTATGGGAGAGATGAATGTATACCTGTTAAAGGGACAGTTCACCCCAAAAATCTCACCTAAAATGCACCCATTGACTCCCATGGTACCTTTTTGTCCTACTATAGAAGTCAATGGTTGCTTTTCTCCACCATTTTTCTAAATATCTTCTTTTGTGTTCAACAGAAAAAAGACACTCACATGAGGGAGAATAAATGATGAATTTAGTTTCATTTTGGGTGCGATATCCCTTTAAATGACACACTTTGCGAATGAATAAAAATAAACACTGACTAAAATGAACCATAATTGCCCCAAAAGTGAGTCAAATTGGCCCGTTTTCTTGCATATTATACATGTAATCTGCATATTTTTCCACCTTTCAGATTTCTCAATGGGAGAGAGGCATGTATACCTGTTAAAGGGACAGTTCACCCTAAAATGTTACCTCAGAAATGCACCCATTGACTTCAACAGTAACATTTTTTTGTCCTATTATAATAGCCAATGGTTGCTTTTCTCCACATTTTTTCTAAATATCTTCCTTTGCATTCAACAGAGGAAAGAAACTCATGAAAACACATGAGGGAGAATAAATAGTGAATTTAGTTTCACTTTTGGGTGCGCTATCCCTTTAAATGTCCAGTTTACGTGCATGAACAAATAATAAAAAGGATTAAAACGGATTAAAATTAAGCATTATTGCGCCAAAAGTGAGTCAAAAAGGCCTATTTTCTTGTATATTATAGAAGTTATTTGCATATATTTCCACATATCAGAATTAACTATGGGAGAGATGCATGTATACCTGTTAAAGGGACAGTTCACCCAAAGATTTGGGGTGTGCAATCCCTTTAAATGAAAAAAAAACATGAAAAACAATAAAATGACTTAAAATGAAGCATAACTGCAGCAAAAGTGAGTCAAAAAGGCCATTTTCTCAGCACAGACGCCGTTTTGTGTGTGTTTTTAGTTAATGCTGGTGCTCTCTCAGTGTTCCTCATGCTGGAGTGGTGTGTGAGACTGTCCTTTCTCAGGTGTGTTGTGTGTGTTTTTCTCTTAGCCAGACTGGTAGATGTATTTGGTCTTTTCAAGGCCGGTGATCTCGCTCTCGTAGCGGGGCAGGCAGCAGAAGAGGATCGCGCAGCCCAGCGTCAGGATTGTGGCGCCCCAGCCGAAACCGTAAGCCCACGTGTAGTCGTAATAACCCTCGTAGATCTGCTCGTTAAACTTGACCGGGTAGATGATCAGAGCGATGATCTGCACGATTACTGCGGACACACACACACACAACACACTCACTTAGTTAAACTGCAGCTGGACACAATCATGAGAAGAAAGGGTCAATGGAAAGTCAAAAAGCAAGATTTAACATTCTTAAAGGGACAGATCACAAAAACGTTGTAATTTACTCATGCTTAAAGTTACAGTTCAGCAAAAAATTGTAATTTAATCATTCTTAAAGGGACAGTTCACCCTAAAATTGTAATTTAATCATCCTTAAAGAAGAAGTTCACCCTAAAATTGTAATTTAGTCTTTCTTAAAGGGACAGTTCACCCTAAAATTGTAATTTAATCATCCTTAAAGAAGAAGTTCACCCTAAAATTGTAATTTAGTCTTTCTTAAAGGGACAGTTCACCCTAAAATTATAATTTAATCATTCTTAAAGGGACAGTTCACCCTAAAATTGTAATTTAGTCTTTCTTAAAGGGACAGTTCACCCTAAAATTATAATTTAATCATTCTTAAAGGGACAGTTCACCCTAAAATTGTAATTTAGTCATTCTTAAAGGGACAGTTCACCCTAAAATTGTAATTTAGTCATTCTTAAAGGGACAGTTCACCCTAAAATTGTAATTTAGTCATTCTTAAAGGGACAGTTCACCCTAAAATTGTAATTTAGTCTTTCTTAAAGGGACAGTTCACCCTAAAATTGTAATTTAGTCATTCTTAAAGGGACAGTTCACCCTAAAATTGTAATTTAATCATCCTTAAAGAAGAAGTTCACCCTAAAATTGTAATTTAGTCTTTCTTAAAGCGACAGTTCACCCTAAAATTGTAATTTAGTCATTCTTAAAGGGACAGTTCACCCTAAAATTGTAATTTAGTCTTTCTTAAAGGGACAGTTCACCCTAAAATTGTAATTTAGTCTTTCTTAAAGGGACAGTTCACCCTAAAATTGTAATTTAGTCTTTCTTAAAGGGACAGTTCACCCTAAAATTGTAATTTAGTCATTCTTAAAGGGACAGTTCACCCTAAAATTGTAATTTAGTCATTCTTAAAGGGACAGTTCACCCTAAAATTGTAATTTAGTCATTCTTAAAGGGACAGTTCACCCTAAAATTGTAATTTAGTCATTCTTAAAGGGACAGTTCACCCTAAAATTGTAATTTAATCATTCTTAAAGGGACAGTTCACCCTAAAATTGTAATTTAGTCATTCTTAAAGAAGAAGTTCACGCTAAAATTGTAATTTAGTCATTCTTAAAGGGACAGTTCACCCTAAAAGAGTAACTTACTCAACCTTAATGAAACAGTGCATGCTAAAGCTGTAATTTAGTCATCCTTAAATAGACAGTTTGCTCATAAATTGTAATTTATTCATTCTTAAAGTAACAGTTAACACTAAAACTGTAATTTAGTCATCCTTAAAGGGACAGTTCACCCTAAAATTGTAATTTAAGCTTTCTTAAAGCGACAGTTCACCCTAAAATTTGGATTTACTCGTCCTTAAAGGGGAAGTTCACCCTAAAATTGTAATTTAGTCTTTCTTAAAGAGACAGTTCACCCTACAATTGCAACTTACTTAACCTTAAGGCCTTACTTTACTTACTTAACCTTAAAGAGACATTACATGCTAAAATTGTAATTAATTCATCCTTAAAGCATCAGTTCACCCTAAATGGTAATTTATTCATCCTTAAAGTAAGTTAACACTAAAACTGTAAATTAGTCATCCCTAAAAGGACAGTTCACCCTAAAAGTGTAATTTAGTCTTTCTTAAAGCGACAGTTCACCCTAAAATTGTAATTTAGTCTTTCTTAAAGCGACAGTTCATCCTAAAATTGTGATTTACTCGTCCTTAAAGGGGAAGTTCACCCTAAATGGTAATTTATTCATCCTTGAAGTAACAGTTAACACTAAAACTGTAAATTAGTCATCCTTAAAAGGACAGTTCACCCTTAAATTGTAATTTAGTCTTTCTTAAAGCGACAGTTCACCCTAAAATTGTAATTTAGTCATTCTTAAAGTAACAGTTAACACTAAAACTGTAATTTAGTCATCCTTAAAGGGACAGTTCACCCTAAAATTGTGATCTACTTGTCCTTAAAGGGGAAGTTCACCCTTAAATTGTAATTTAGTCTTAAAGAGACAGAAGACAGAAACAAACGAAAAAACGAAGTGTTGGATTATTGTGAGTTTTTTTCTATTGAGAGTTAGCGTGACAGATCTGCACACACAGACAGCAGTGAGAGAGTGAAGGGTGTGGACAACAAAACACACACAGCACATTACATGCATCAGAGACGACTAGATTGATAGAACAAAACATTCATATTAGAATAATAATAATAATAACAATAATAATAATATACTTATTCAACTCCACATTCAGTTTTTCCAAGTCAAACTCAGTTTCAACACTGAAGAGGAGAGGTTATGATTCACAGCAGACCTCTTGTGAAGGACTAAATGTGTGGTTTATAATCGTGTGACTCTCGATCTCTCAGAAAAAGAGCAAACACCAGTAAAATCTGCTTCAGTGTCAAGTGTAAATCTGTAAACTCTCATCACGCCTTCGGGAGATTTCTCCTGTCTCAACATGTTCTTAAATACTTTAATGATGACACAGAGCTGAGCAAGCCTTATTCCACTGAATGGAAAATTAATTCTGATCATCCTCGTGATATATCCATGTTCTCACAATTATGAGATTAAAAAAAAATCTGAATAGTGAAACGGGTTGTTTAAAAACATTTAAAATATATTCAACGTGGAAACACAAAAGAAACTTTAAAAACAAAGCATGATGAAGCGAAACAGAACTCAAAACTGCAGGATATTCTGAGAAAAAACTAGTAAAAAAGAGTAACAATAAGAAAGATAAAAAAGAAAGAAAAAGAAAAAATGAGAGTAATAAAAAAAGCAAAAGAAACAATAGTAAAAAATACAAAAAGTAAGAAAAAGAAAGAAAGAAAGAAACTGAAATAAGTTTCTGTAGCAAAGTATTTTAAATAAATACAAACAAAACTAACTAAAATGATTATATAAAACACACTTTCAATAAAAGTTGTACATCTTTTCTGTAATTGTTATTCTGCGCTTTAAAAATAAAATAATAAACTCAAAGCGGCGAGATCGAGACTTGAGTTAACAAGTCGCTAAACTGCAGGATACTCAAAACAATGAGCAAAATAACACTTGCAGGACGAACTCGACTGCGGGACAAGAGGAGATAACAGTTTTACATTTACGTCAAGATTATAACAGCAAATGATCAATTCTGGGGTTAATTTACGAGTCCACATCTCACAGTTACATTAAAAACAATGAGCCGCACGGACGTTTATATGTTTTGTTCATCAAACCGCCCGGCCCAACATCCACATATTCTTCACACAGCATTCATCACAGACAAAGTGGAGGAAATGATCCTGCCGTGAACTTCCTCAGACAGAGAGTGCAGCACACATGCGCTGAACCACACCACGAAACCACAGCTCACGTTTACTGCTGGCTTATTTTAATATCTCTATTATCTGAGCTTTTGACCTGTCATTGTCATTCTGTTGCACTGTGGAAGCTTCGGACACAAATTCGACAAATTCCTTGTAAGTGTGAACATAAAGCTCTGATTCTGATTCTACATTCTGATTTGTATTGAGTATATCGATACGACCGATATATCAGCCGATATTCATCATTTTCAAAATATCGGCATTGATCCTAGGCAGGACTTTTATTTTGACAACACTAAGTGTTTGTTTACCACATTTATTTTTAAATGCATTTTCAAAAGATTTAGCCTTTGATTCTATTCGATAAAATTTATTAAAATAAATAACACAAAATATCGGTTAAATATGAAATTATCGGTTCCATATCAGTCGACCACTACATTGAGTTATTGGAAATTAACATATGACTCTATTTTTGGGCTAATTTGTAGCCTTTGATATCTAATAGACATCCTTGGACTTGCTCTTCAGTGTTTGAGCTTTCAGCAGTGACACTGACATTACACTGAACTGAACTCTGAAAACTGGACTGAAGCCGTTTTGATTTAGTAGATCTTCATCTATGCTAAGCTGCTTTGACACAATCTACATTGTAAATGTTCATAGAAATTAATAGGGATGTTCTGATACGATTGTTTCCTTCCTGATACCGACTCCGATACCTGAGCTCAGAGTATCGGCCGATACCGAGTACTAAACCGATACCAAGTCCGTGTCAGTAGAAACATTTGCGTATACTACTGCTTGCCATGTATAGATTGACATCATTAATTTACAGTGTGCTTCAGACTTATCCATTAATAAAACCTTCACAAACACACAGAGTGAACGAGAGTCTTTTTATTACTGACGTTTTTATTATCAGACATTTAACAGTACTTTGATTTATTGTACTTTACTGAAACAAGCTCAGCCACAAATCAAAGTTTAAGCAAAGCTAGCGGGCTTATTTCTCATTTAAAAAGATGCTATCAAATAAGTTCATGGTTTCAAATACTCGCCGATACCGATGCCAAAACTTCTGCAGTATCGGCAAATATTTAAGATGCTAGTATCAGTATCGGTACAACCCTAGAAATGAAGATGAATTGAATTGAATAGACAAAGAGCTGATGTCTTACCAGCCAGGATGAGGAGTAGTCCGATGAAGGGCAGCAGAGAGACGTTGACGGTAGAGCACAGTGCCACTAATGAGATGATGAAGGCGAAGATGAGGATGATGAGGCCGATGATCATCAGAGCAGCTACAGCCTGAGCCCAAGCTGGAGGAACACAAGAGGAAGACTATTAGTCACATGATGCTCGCTTTCATAGCATCTCACTAACACACTGAAAACAGTCCAAATCAAAGTCAAATAATCTTGTTTAATCTTGTTGAAATGTTGATATTTGGACCAGAAACAAGAGCAAGAAAAATGTATAAATAATTACATACAACTAATCTATGTTACACTGCCAAACAAAATGTTTTAAACTCTCTTGAAATGCACAGTCATAGGCCCTAAAAACACATACAAAAAACAGACGTCCTCTATTATGGTTAAACTATGGTTAGACTCAACAGTGGATATCTTGCGATGTGGCTATGGTTTGATTTGGCCCACAGCCACCCCATCTGAGAAGAGAGTGAGAATTGGGGCTAATGCTAACGTGACCTTTTTTGTTGGTTTGTTTTATTTCTGAGCTAAAAAAAAAAGCAAACTAAAATTAAATCTTTCAATAAAAAATTAAACACCGGAATTAAATCTTTAAATTTAATGTTGAAAATCAATCAGATATGTTTAATGTAAATACTCAAATGATTATTTTTTTATTGAATGTTGTAATGTGCTCTTGGTCTTAAATGTGAGTCTGTTCTGTGCTTTCATTTTATTTAGCAATGAAAACACTTTGAAATAAATATAAAACATGCGGGATTCCCTTCCTTTTCATTACAGGCGCCGTCGCCCCTCCAATGCAGTCCTCAAAACGGTCAGTTCATGTAGCGGTGCGTGACTGTCAGACGCTCTCCACAGTGATAAACAGACACGGTTTCCCGAACAGATTCTTTACTCGCGATTTGAAGCAGAGAGAAAGTCGACACGCTGTGTTTTGGGTGCGTGTTTGAACAGACTTATACACACAATAATAATAATAATAATGATAATAATAATAATAATGATAATGATAATGATAATGATAATAAAATAATAATAATGATAATAATATAATAATAATAATAATATGATAATAATAATAATAATATTCATAATAATAATAATAATAATAATAATAATAATAATAATAATATGATAATAATAATAATAATAATAATAACAATAATATGATAGTAAAAATAATAATAATAAAAATAACAATAATATGATAATAATAATATGATAATAATATTCATAATAATAATAATAATAATAATAATCATAATAACAATATGATAATGACAATAATAATAATAATAATAATAATAATAATAATAATAAAATAATCATCATCATCATCATCGTCATCATCATCATAATAATAATATATTTTTACTGAACTATATGTGTCCTAATAGTGTTGTCTGTCAACAACATCTCAAAAAACGTGTTTTAGGGTTTTGTGACGCTTTACATCAAGAGGCATTATCCTGACAAGCAAAATATTGGCTTTTTTTCAAAGTAATAAGTCAAAATGAAGTGAGTTTTTCATTAAAACTAGCAAAATAATCTTCCAATGTGGTAAGGAAAATAATCTAGTGTTGGCTTTGACGTTAGATTGTCTTGCTTACACTATTGGCAGATTATTTTGCATGTTTTAATGAAAAACTCACTTCATTTCAACTCATTATTTCTAAAAACAAGACAATTAAATGTGTCAAGACTTAGTCTCATTGACTTCCATTCATTTTTATAGTAATTACCAAACTCTCTCTGTTCTGTTATACATGATTGTTCTATTATGTCGAATATCGACTTTTTTTTACGGCTGGTAGGAAAAAAAACGTTAAACAAGTGAAAACTAAATCTCACCACTTTCCCTTTATTGGCATGACACACTTTAAGAAAGCAGAAGTAAATCAGTTTATAATCTGTTGGACTACACATTTACAGCTTTCCATCAATGTTTAACCAGTTTCTCTCAGTCATCAATGAGTTTCAGTGTAGATTCGAGGACTTGTAAAGGCAGCGACTGGTTTCTAACACTGGATGGAGGAATGTGTGTGTGTTTCGTCTGCGTACACAGTCACACCCAGAGAGAGCTGTCTGAGGAAGGGTGTGGTGCATGAAGCTTCTGAACAAATAAGATTGATGTCTCCAGTGTTATTGGTTCTGACTTCATCATATATCTAGTCAATTCGTCACTCAGACATTAGTAATCTTTGGCATTCAAGAGCAAAACTGCCTACCATCAACTCTGTGGTCATCAAGTCTGCGTAATTAAGACTGTAAAAGGATTAGTTGACTTAAGAAAGTGAGAAAGTCATTGTTGCTTGAAAGTGTTAAGTTGACGTAACTTAATTTGTATAATTATGTGCATACTTTATAATTACTTAAAAAAACACCTTGAAACTTAAAACCTGATCATCTAAGTGGCTAATAGTTTAAAGGCAACAGGTTTACTCACTTTAAGCAAAGTCAACTAATCACTTCAAAAGCAGCAAGTTTACTTTTTTAAGTAAATTCGACAGATAGCTTTAAAAACCAACAGGTTTCCTCACTTTTTAAAGTACCCATTCTAAACTCTTAAATGGTCACAATTTATCTATTTATTTTCTTTAAAACTTGTATGCACTTTGGTGATTTACACTGTAGATCTGCCTGATGATAACATATTTAGTGTGTATATCATTTTTGGTATATTATATTATATTATATTATATTATATTATATTATATTATATTATATTATATTATATTATATTATATTATATTTTATATTATATTTTATTTATTTTATTTTATTTTTTATATTATATTATATTATATTTTATATTTTATTTTATTTTATTATATTTAATTATTTATTTTTTATGTATTTATTGTTTAGGGTTATTTTTATTGAAACTGCAGAGCTTATGCTACAAAATTTTATTTTGTGTACACCTACATGTAAATGACAATAAATATAATGTCAACAACTCATCGTCAACTTCTTTTAAATAACTAAATGCTTTAAAAGCAACAATTTTACTCATTTTTTTAACTTATCAAACCGCATTTAATCTAATAATAATTTTTTGTAATCTTTTTCGGGGTTTTCACCTTTATTGGATAGGACAGCAGAGAGTATTGACAGAAAAGTTTGAGGAGCATGAGTGCATGTGTCGACACACATTCCACTGCACCACTGGCACCAACCGTTTAGTTTTTTAAGCAATTTAACTAATCTAATCACTTTAAAAGAAACAGCTTTACTCACTTTTATTTGGTTTTTTAAGGGGTTTTTCATCTTTTATTGCACTAGGATAGTGGAGGACAGACATATAAGAGCAGAGAGAGGGGAAGGATCGGCATAGAACATCTAGCCAGGAATCGAACTGAGGTCGCCGTGAGCACCATGCTGCTATATGTTGGCACACATAACCAGCGCTTACTAAACTGTTTAAAAAAAAACAAGTTGACAACTTAAAATTGTAAGGCAACTTGCTGCAGAGCTTTTTTGACTGAACTCATTTTAAATCGAGTCAAGTGTAGTACGTGGTTGAAAGTTGATTTTTAGTTGACTCAACTTTTTTGACAATATTCACTTTTTTTAAGTAAACTCAACTAATCGCTTTAAACGCAACAAGTTTACTTACTAATCACTTTAAAAGCACCAGTGTTTCTTCTTTTATTGGGATAGGATTGTGGAGGACAGACAGGAAAGCATTGGGAGCAGAGAGAGGCGGAGGATCGGCATAGGACCTCAAGCCAGGAATCAAACTCGAGTCTCCTCAAGCAACATGCTTTAAGTCGGCTCACTTAATCACTAGGTTATGGGCACTCACTACACTGTTGACAAGATTTTTTTATCCAAACTCATTTTTTTAAAGTAAATTAACTCATTAAATCGCATTAAAAACAACAGGTTTACACACTTTTTAGGTAAAGTCAAGTAATAACTTTAAAAGCAACAGATTTACTCACTATTTATATATATATTCAACTAATCGCCATAAAAACGACAGGTTAACTCACTTTTTAAAGTCGCTAATGACTTTAAAAGAAACAGTTTTATTCACTTTTTAAAGTAAATTCAACTAATGGAATCACTTTAAAAGCAACAGGTTTACTCACTTTTAAAGTAAAGTCAACTAATCACGTACTACAGTGTACACATATATTTCATAATACTAACCTTAATATAAAGCAAAATTAATAATTCTACAAACAGCGGAGTAGTGCATCACAGCACATGTAAAATAAGCTCTGTGATCTATGATTAATTTATAAGCACAATTGTACAAATGAGAACTAGAGTTTATGCATAAAATACTCTGTTAAACTGTAATGTAAATATCTTGTTTTCTATCAACCGACAGGCCTTAAACATTCACCTATAGCAAACTAGAGAAAAAACAGATAATGCATGAGATAAAGTCAAAGATGGCAGGTTTTGCCTGGAGCTTAAAGTGTTTTCAAAGCTGTCAACAGTCGCATCTATAATTTATTTAACAGGTTCAACTGGTTATAAGTGGCTGTGTTTGCACACCGAGCTATTTCCACTTTCCCCACACTATAACGATCATACAGAAGTTACTACAATCTCTTTCTGCTCTGATACTAGAGTAGAAATTAAACATAAAGATACATTAAAAACATAAATGACTTCCCGACTAGTCGATGTTTAGTTTATTAGTGGAGTATTTACAATGTAAGCAGCTTAGGGAGCCAAACAGCACACATAATAGCGTAGTCTATAGATATGGTCAGTGTGATTACGTTATTTTCCGCAGTTCTGTGAACTGTTATAATGCATTAGCAAACAATTTATTAACAATAGTACAAATCGTAAAAACAAATTCAAGTTAGTTCACAGTTCATTAACTCATATTAACAAAATAAAGAGTTTTTGTGTTGTTAGTTCATGTTAGCCCAATAAAAAATACTATAGTAATTTAGAGTAAACACACTGCTTTCGAAGCATACTAGCGTGAGTTATACTGTCCATTATTTAAAACACTGTGTTATTGAATGCTACAGTATATTGTAATATTAGTGAACTCATGAATAAAGTGGTATACTTTAGTTTTTACTACAGTAAACTGTGGTGTATTGTAGTATGATGTAGCTGCAGTATAGGGTGATTTGTTATTACCACCACTGATGAATAATTCAGGTACTTTACTAAAGTATGGTTTAAAAACGCTATAGCATTTACTATAGTATTATTTTATGTAGAAACTAATAGGGTAAATTATTGACTAAACAAATCTTTGATATGTATGATGAATAAGAGGAGGCTTTCAAAATGCTCCTGACAATAAGCTAATAAAACTAACACATATTATGCAAATATATAATATTCAAATATAAATTTTTATACATGTCATTGTAGGATCAGTTCTCTGACATGATAAGAGCACTATATGTTTCTGTTTTTTGGCATTATTAGTTTTCAAGAATATTTAAAAATGTATATTGAAGATAAATACAGAAAAAACTCAAACTTTCCACCTGCTTTGTTTGTTTCTTTTATTATTTTTTGTGTAAACTTTTTTATTCAAACTTTTTCTTCTTGTCTTTAATTTTGGATCAAATATATATGAACACTACCGGTCTAAAGTTTTGGGTCAGTTTTTTTTTTATCATTGAGGCAGCATTTATTAAATGTAAATAATGCTAAATTGTTAAATATTTATGAACATTTTAAATAACTGATTTCTTATTGTATGTAGTTTCAAATGAAACTATTACTCCAGTCATTATTGCTTTTATTACTATTAACATTAATAATAATAATAATAATAATAATAATAATAATAATAATAATAATAATAATAATAAATATTAGAGTGATTTCTGAAGGATCATGTGACTGAAGACTGAAGTAATAAATTCATCATTAAAATCACTGGAATCAAAAATTAAGTTAAATAATAATCTACTTTTGAACAGTTATTTTTTAGTCAAATAACATTTCAAAATTTTACAATGTGTACTGTATTTTTGATTAAATAAATGCAGCCTTGGTGAGCAGGAGGAGCTTATTTCAAAACAATTTGACCCCAAACTTTTGACTGCAGTATATATATATATATATATATATATATATATATATATATATATATATATATATATATAACAACATTATTCGTTTTCAAGTATAATATATACTGGCAATAAATGCGAAAGACAATATAAAAACTTTTCACCTCTTTTGTTTGTTTGCTTCTTTGTTTTGTCTGAACTTTTTCCTTTTTTTTTTTTCCTTTTCTAGTCTTAATATGTATATTCTTCAATATATATATATATATATATATATATATATATATATATATATTCTTTATATATGTATAAATTATTCTTCAAGGATCATATTTAAAAAAGGGTAAACACAAGAAGAAAAATATTTTACACCTGCTTTTCCAAATTCAAGCATTCCCCTAGTGTCTTTAACGCTGGATCAAATATGGGTCATATATGTCATATATATATATTGAAATATGTAAATATTAAATATGTCTATTTATCTTCAATGTATATTAAGTATATTGAAGATAAATGGACACTTTCCACATGTTTTTACTTGCTTTTGAACTTTTTAATTGGAACTTTTCCCTGTTGTCTTTAATGCTTGGATCAAAAATGAGTCACATAGACATATAACAAGTGTGATATTTTAAAAAATGTATATTGAATACTTTCCACTTGTATTTCATTGTCTGTCTTTTTTTAAATACTTTTTAATTGGATTTTTTTCCTGTTGTCTGTAATGCTGGATCCACCTGTAGCCTATTTTTCTTTTCATTTTCTTCTGGAATTCTTTATTTGAACTTTTTCCTATTTTAACGCTGGATCAAAGAGGGATTCACGTAAAACACACACACACACACACACACACACACACACACACACACACACACATATATATATATATATATAAATTACAGTACATTGAAGAATGCAAATATATTTTTAAAGTGCATTGAAGATAAATGGGATACAGAAGAATAAACACTTTCCACTTGTTTTTACTTTTTTAATTGGAACTTTTTTCCTGTTGTTTAACGCATGGCTCAAACAGGACTCACAAATAAAATATAAGAAATATAACAAGTATATTATCTTTTAAAATATATATTAAAGATATCTTTCACCTGTATTTCTTTTCTGTTCTCTTCTTTATTCGATTTTTTCCGTTGTCTTTAACTCTGGCTCATACATGGGTCATGTATGTTTTTCAAAAGTAGCCTAAGTTACATTGACTATAAATAGTATATAATAATCAATAGTAAATATTATATGAACACTTTTTCCACCTGTTTTTGCTTGCTTATGAAGTTTTGAACGTTTTAATTCGTACTTCTTCCTGTTGTCTCCCTGTACTCTGGCTCATACTAGTCTCTAAAGTCTGTGATCAGTCGGTGAACTCTGTACTTTTGACTTACAGAACTCCATGAGGGATTTGCAGTCCCACTGGTCGTTGCGGCCTCGGCACTGCTTCCACATGCTGGCGTAGTGTGTTTTAGCGTCCTGATCCTCCACCCAGCCGGACTGCGCCGCGATCGCGATAATGTCGAATATAATGGCGAACAGCAGCAGCATCGGCAAGATCCACCGACACCGCGTGTAGTCGATCCCACACCGGAACATTATGCTTCTGATAGAGTGTAAAGCGTGTGTTCTGGTCGAGTGTTAAGAAGTTCTGTGGATGTTTTCTGGTGTGTCTTTATCGGAAACTTTCGCTGAGCTCCACCCCGCGCTGAAACCTGATCTGGAGAAGCTCAACCTGTTTCAATGGAGACTCTCTCAGGGCTGGGCATAAAAGTCTATTGACACACACACACAGACACACACACACACACACACACATAAGAGAGCGAGAGAGAGCGAGATATACACACAGAGACACACTCAACTTTTTTACTAATTAGACGAATGCTAGCATTAGCTCTACGATAAACGATTTGGGTTTTTTATTAGACAGCAACTTAACTTTTGAAAACCATATAAAACATTAAATAATCAAGCTCCTGTTTATCTAAACAACCTTCTGTCTTGCTACAATCCAACCCGCTCTCAAGATCTCAAAACTAAGGGCTTCTGGTAGTACCGAGAATAGCAAAGTCTACTAAAGGAGGTTGAGTCTTCTCATTTATGGCCCCTAAACTCTTTAATAGCCTTCCTGATAATGTCGGAGGCTCAGACACACTCTCTCGCTTTAAAACTAAAGACCTATCTTTTAAGTAAAGTGCAATGCATCACATAATGGTATAATGCATGTGTGCTCCATGCAGGTGAGTGGGCTTGACAAACCACCCGTAGGACACACTCTTCCAGTCTTAATGCACTACACATTTTGTTAGAAATACTGCTTGTCTATATAACCCCTATTTTTATTTATAGCACTTCATTTTTACACTGACATTTAGGATCTCTTGTTTAACTACACTATGATTTCCCAGTGTTGGGTTGCGCTGGATAGGTATCCGCTATGGAAAACATATGCTGGATAAGTTGGCGGTTCATTCCGCTGTGGAGACCCCTGATTAATAAAGGGACTAAGCCGAAAAAAAAAATTATGAATGAATGAATACACTCTGAGCAGCAGCTACGCTAATTATTTTCTTTGTTCTCTATTTCCACCTTGTAATGCCCATAAGGGGTGTCCAGACTTGGTCCTGGAGCGCCGGTGTCCTGCATAGTTTTGCTTCAGCTTCCTCCAACACACCTGCCCAGAAGTTTCTAGTATTTCTTCAAAGAGCTTGATTAGTTGGTTCAGGTGTGTTTAATCAGGGTTGGAGCTAAAATATGCAGGACACCGGCCCTCCAGGATTGAGTTTGGACACCCATGAGGCCCATAGAAATACAAAAAGAAGTTCTGGTGTTATTGTGGAAGGATACTGTGAATAAACAGAACGAGTAATATTTATGTTCTCGGCTGCACTATATGGTTGTCTTAGATTGTTTCTAGTCTAAGTATCTAAAAAATTCTTAAATCAAGAAGCATTTTATTAACAAGCACATAGTTTTCAGAAATAATCTATTAAAGGTTTTTCCTTAAAACAAGCAAAATAGTTTTATGTTAAAGCAAAAACAAGATTATTTTGCTTTACTGACACATTTTTGTTTTGTTTTCTTCGGGTGAAGAGAATTTTAATAATCTAATCAGATATCTTTTATTATGAAAAGATGTCAAATGTCCTTCATGCAATCCAACACTAAAATATACACAGTTATTTTAATCCAATTTTCAGTCAAATATGCACAAAACCAACCACTGGATTAATTGTATTAATTAATTACATTTATATAGAACCACATTTTACCCTGGGGCGTCATTCTGGCGCAGTGGGTAGCACGATCGGCTCACAGCAAGAAGGTCGCTTGTTCAAGCCCCAGCTTGGTCAGTTGGCATTTCTGTGTGGAGTTTGCATGTTCTCCTTTTGTTGGCGTGGGTTTCTCCAGGTGCTCTGGATTCCTCCACAGTCCAAACACATGCGCTATAGGGGAATTGATCAACTAAATCAGCCGTAGTGTATATGTGTGAATGCAAGAGTGTATGTGTGTTTCCCAATGTTGGGTTGCGGCTGGAAAGGAATCCGCTATGTAAAACATATGCTGGATAAGTTGGCGGTTCATTACACTGAGGCGACCGATGATTAATTAAGGGACCAAGCTGAAAAGAAAATTAATGAGTGAATTAAACTCTACATTTGGGTTTGTCCATATTTTACCTAATATTGGGTTACAAAAACCCAGCAATTTTTAGAGTGAACCATCAGTGCCAGAAAATACTTTGAATTGTGAACTGTTGTCCAATAATGTGATGATTGTTGTGCTTTTTTCATGAATCAAAAGGTGTGATCACATTCACAAAGTCCTAAATCTGCCAAATCAGAGTAAATCATGATGAAATCTGGCATCCGCCCTTCCTCATACGCCCATGCAGAAACAACCCAGTGCGATTCCTCACAGCCTGCTGTGACTCACAGTTCACAGGCTTCGTGTTTGGGTGTTGTTCTTCTCAATGTGACCTGTGTGTGCGTGTGTGTGTGTGTGTGTATTAATATGTATAGCCATATATGAACACATATATTATTAGACATTTGAACATATGTGTGTATATTTGTAATTTCAGTGGTTAAAAAATACATGTTAGCTGCCCTTTTTGCAATATTTTGACATATTTTTTTGCATAAATGACATTTTATGGATGTTATTTGCGTGTATTTCCATATGTCACATATATATGGGGAACACAATATACCTTGTTTAGGTGTTGTTCTTCTGAATGTTCAGTTTTCGGTCTTCATGTTTGGGTGTTGTTCTTCTGTTCACATGAGTCAGGAAGAAGAGCGTCGGGTGGAGACTAAGCTCCACCTTCACACTCCTGAAGGACAGGTTCATGAGCACAGCAGCGCCTGCAGGAGAAACACACACCCTCTTCACACTCAGCACACACTCAACACATACTCACAGGCTGCAATTACTCAAACATGCGGCTGTTTTCTCATAATACAGATGACCTTGTGTCTCCATGTGTGGGTGTGCTTTGGGTAAATTGTGACCCTGGATAGAAATCTGATATATGGAAATATATGCAAATTACATACATGACACGTTTAAATTCATATTTGAATTTCACAGACATAAAACATACCATATATGCAACATATATTTCTAAATATTGCAAACATGGCCATTTACATATACTGTATAAAGCTTAAATTTTTTTAATCATTCACTTATTAATTTTCCTTTGGCTTTGTCCCTTTATTCATCAGGGAATGAACCGATAACTTATCCAGTTTTACACAGCAGATGCCCTTCCAGCTGCAACCATTATTGGGAAACACCCATACACTCTCATTTACACACATACACATATGTGTTTGGACCCAGAAGAAACCCACACCAATATAGGGAGAACATGCGAATTACACAGAAACACTAATTGACCCAGCCGGGACTCGCACCAGCGACCTTCTTGCTGTGAGGTCACAGTACTAACCACTGAGGCACTGTGTCGCCCCTATATTTATCAATCATTGGAATTACAAATATATGCATAAATGTTTAAATACATATATAAATTAGATGTTGGAGGGGCGTGGCTATGCATATTTCAACCAATCAGAGTCAAACTGACGGCATCAGAGCGGAACCAAATGCAATTAATCAGATAATCGGAAAAATCTGAGGCATTTTTTAAATTTACCTGATGATCTATAAAATCACTACATGAATAGACACTGTACGCTGCTGAATGTATATATATATATATATATATATATATATATATATATATATTTGCTGTTGTTTGTACCTTTTTGTTTCTAGATTAAAAAAACAGATAAGCAGATTTACCAAAAAAAAACAAAACATTTTTTTTTAATGGTCCAACTAATTTGCAATTAATATCCGCAATATTATTATCATCACGGATATTTCATATTAATCATTCACCTCAAGACTAGCAGCATAAACATTGTACATATGTAGACTTACATTAAAATCTAATACTAGGCCAACTTTGATACTCAATATAGTATGAACTACTTCTAAACAATACTATACATGTGATAAACATTTTTTTTTTGTAAACAGCAAATGTGATGATGAAGTAGTACAAAACATGCTTTGTTTACTGCAGTTATGTTGCTTGTTGACGCTAATAATAACACGACACATTCACTTCAGTCACCTTTTCTTTCTTTTTTTCACTTAATCGCAGATATTATTGAATTGTGTGACGACTTGTCTTGCTTTATTATCACAATCCTCGCATAAAAAGTCTTGTTTATGTTGAAAAGCTAGCCATTAGCAGCAGACGGCGCTGTGGCGGTGGCGCGCACGGGAAACAAAGGACCTGTCAACTTCCGACGGCCATATTGCGGTGATACAGCGAGTTTTGCGGAGAGGAGCTCATCATGATTTCTGCCCAGGCTTATGGAGAAAACGGCAAAATGAAAGAATATCACTATACAGGACCAGTGGAGCACAAATTCTCCCCTTATGCCTTCAACGGAGGGTAAGAAGATATATTGTCCTCCATTTTCATTCAGCAGAGCATCCAGCGAACATGACAATTCACTTCACAGCTACGATTCAGCCATAAACTCGTCTTATAAACTGTTTAGAGACTTAAAATTTGTACATTTTACACAAAATAAAATGTCCGAGAGCTAAGTTTAGTAAAATCACGGGTGTAGCAGCAGTATAAATTGAGCTTAACAGTGTGCTTATTTTACTTTCACTATCACAACTGCAGAAATTGACTATTCATGTGTTGTAAGTCAAAACCGATGATATCTGAGGTAAAAACATTAATATTTAGACCTAATATGGTTTATTATTGATGCTAATTTTTAAACCAAACGTTGTTTTATTGTGGGACGTTTATATTGTTCTTATATTTGCTCCTACATGACTAAAATACTGTAGTAATTTATAGTAAATACTGTAGTGCTTTTAAATCATGCTATAGTGAAGTGTATTATACTGTATATATTATAATAATCACTCTTTTAAATCTATTAATGAAGGCCCCAGTACACTATAGTGAACAGATAAACTAATAAATGCTGTAGTTTTACTAAAGTAAACTGTAGTTTATTGTAGTATAATATACTTTAAGAAAATTTGGATTTGTTTATAATAATATAAGTGTATTAACTATTGAAATAACACATTGAGGTAAAGTTGGTTTTATATTCACACATTCACACTTAATGATACAGTTTAGACAAGTATTATTTGCAAATTCTAAGTAGTGAAATCATATTATCAGCCAGTGACTGTCAAAGTACAGCTTTGTTCACTGTCAATTAAAGACTGCTAATGTTGTTTTGAAGGCATTCTTGCATGCAATTTCACACCGAATATTTAAAGTAGCGTGGTAAACAAAATAAGGAGCAAGTTGTCACTGTACGAATGTGCTAATATAAAACCAGCTTTACCTCAATAAATAATAAGAGACAAGCAGAGTCAAGCAGTTGTGTTGAGGTAACGTTGGTTTTATGTTTACAAATTCAAGCTTTTTGATTAATATTATAATTTCAGAAAAGTTATTTAAGTTGGGAAATCATATCGGCAGCCAATGACTAACATAACATCAGTTAAAAAGTGCTAATAATGTTGTAAAGCATTAAAGTGAACAAATGTGTGAATATAAAACCAACTTCACCTCGATTTGTCTGTCTTTATTAATTGTTTATTTTCTCTTCTGTTTATTTAAATGAGGCATTTGTATATTTGTGTTGAATCTGTTCTCAGGACAGTGCTGGCGGTGGCTGGTGAAGATTTTGCTATCGTGGCCTCAGACACACGTTTAAGTGAAGGTTACAGCATCCACAGCAGAGACTCGCCCAAATGCTACAAGCTGTGAGTGACTGTTATTATTATTTTAATATATGTGTATGATATAAAGGCAAAAATGCTAATTTACCTCCAGATTGTTAGTGGGCCGCTTCGGTAAGTCATGGTGAAAATGTATATATAATTATGATTTTTTTTACTCTAGACACATAGAGCATGTTTAAGAAGATACATTATTAATTTATTGAGGTAAAGTTGATTTTATATTAGCACATTTGTTAATTTTAACAGTTCCTATATTGTTTGCGATGCTACTTTGAATATTGGGTCTGAAATCACATGTAAGTATGACTTCAAAACAACATTATCACTATTTAATTGACTGTGAACAATGTTGTACTTTGATAGTCTATTGGCTGATAATTTGATTCCCATATTTAGAATTTGCAAATAATACTTTTCTGAAAATATATGATTAAGGAGGAAGTCAGAATGTGTGAATATAAAATTAACTTTACCTCAATTATTCATTTAAACATATTCTGTGTGTCCTGTTTATTCTTATTTTTTTTACAGAGTAAAAAATCATGACTGTCATACATTTTTACCATGATTTTAATGACAGAAGACTCCCACTAAAATTCTATTTTACTCATATTTTTGTTTTTAGTGATGTTATATATTATGAAATGTATTAATTTTGTAATATTTAATGAGTGACCCTTTGTTACTTTACCTTTAACAGGTCAGAATAACTGTGTTCTTGAACTTTTACATATATGTCAGGGCTCGACAATAAGGACTGCCCCGTGGCCCAGGGCCAGCGTGAGAGATGCTTGGGACAGTAGACAGGATCATTACTGGCCCGATTGGGACAGTGCTGCCTTGTCACTAACATTTCATTTGTCTGCGACTATTTCAATTATGTGCGTTTTAAGTTTGTGCTTTTAAGTCTTTAAACACTCCCTTCTCAATGAAGTCGTAAACACCATATTGCTTTCCGGTTCCGCTTATCTGATTTGATGTTTTGAGCATGCTTTTTTTCCCCGCAACCTGGGAACAACCAGTACAGAGAAGAAACGGCAACATGGCGGCAACATCAAATTATAAGGCTAAAAGAAAATGCCTGTTTCTAATGTCTTAGATACAGGAATTTACGTGTGAACAACGCGAAAAAAAAAAAATGAAGTGATGTTTTGCACTGATTGCCCACAGTCAGCCCACCTTTTGTTAAATAATTTCGAACCGCAATAAAAATACCTGCACATTTTCCATACTGCTCTTTTTGTTTGCACAACACTTTTATTAATGTTTTTTTAAGTATTGAAATTCTAGATTCACAGACTTTATTTTTGACACATATTTAAAATATGCGGCTGAAAAATAGCTTTAAAAATTTTATTTATTTATTTATTTTTTTGGTGGGGCCAGTACAAATTTTGGCAGGGCCAGTAAAAATCTAAACCACTGGCCCGATCAGACCAGTAAAAAAAAAATCCATAGCGTTGAACCCTGTATGTATCAGAACATTTGCAAAGCAGATTTCTTCAACACATTTCTAATCGTAATAGTTTTAATAACTCATAATCTCTTATAACTGATTTATTTTCTCTTTGCCATGATGACAGTAAATAATATTAGACTAGATATTCTTCAAGACACTAGTATTCAGCTTAAAGTGACATTTAAAGGCTTCACTAGGGTAATTAGGGTAAAGTTAGGGTAATTAGGCAAGTCATTGTATAACGATGGTTTGTTCTGTACACTATTGAAAATAATATAGCTTAATGGGGCTAATAGTTCTGACCGTAAAATGGTTTTTAAAAAAATGACAACTGCTTTTATTTTAGCTGAAATTAAACAAATCAGACTTTCTCCAAAAGAACAAATATTATAGGAAATACTGTGAACAATTCCTGAATCTGTTCAACATCATGTGGGGAAATATTTGTAAAAGAAGAAAAATCAGAGGGGGACTAATAATTGGGAAATGCTGTGAAAATGTCCTTGCTCATTAAACTACTTGGGAAACCTTTAAAGTAAAAACTTTACAGGAAGGCTAATAACTTTGCTACATGTGTGAACATTTTGAGTGAAGTTGAAGACTTTGAAGTGGATTAAATCTTTGTATCAGTTGAAAAATATTTCCAGTTTTTTTCCAGTTCTAGTAAATGAGAGTGCACTAGTGTACTTTAAAATCCCTGTTGTCAATAGTAATCCAGAAACTGAGAAATTGCACTTCAGAGTTAATTATGAATTATTTAGCATTAAACCGTGTCTGTGTCATTGTTCTCAGCTGCAAGAATGTTAAAACCCATGACAGTGAGCAAATAAATGCACACCCACAGTTTATATTGTCAGCGTGTGTGTGCTGTACAGCACTTTTTACTTTCATTTCTCTGTTTTTACTCTCTCTCAGGACAGACACTACAGTTCTGGGCTGCAGTGGTTTTCATGGAGACTGCCTGACGCTCACCAAAATCATTGAGGCCCGACTGAAGGTGCGTCTCACAGCCTAGAAGGGAAAATGGAAATGCTGTTGTCGTTTTTTCATGAGGGAACATTTTCAGTGTGCTAACAGTATGACACTGAAATGTACAGATATAATGCTTCACTCAACAAAATGAGTTGAGTTTTAGAAATGAACAACCTTTTATTATTTTTCTATAATATTGCTGTGGATAATTTATCTGTAAAATAACAATATAATTTGTCAAATAACAAAGCAAATTTTACAACCAATTAAAAAACAGATAATACAAATAAAGGAAGTATCTTTATTATCATTAGTTATTCTTAGCTTGATTTTTTTTTTACATGCTTTGTTGTTATTATTATTATTATTATTATTATTTAGGAAATATGACAATAAGTTTTCTCTGCACATTTAAAAGGGTGGAAAAAAAAACGTTGCCTCACATACAAAACTGAACAAATCTCCTAATTAAGGGGTGTCCAAACTCAGTCCTGGAGGGCCGGTGTCCTGGAGAGTTTAGCCCCAACCATAATCAAACACACCTGAACAAGCTAGTCAAGCTCATACTAGGTATAATAGAACAGGGGTGTCCAAACTCGTAGGTGTCCTGCATAGTTTAGCTCCAACTTCCTTCAACACACCTGCCTAGAAGTTTCTAGTATACCTAGAAATGGCTTGATCAGCTGCTTCAGGTGTGTTTAATTGGGGTTGGAACTAAAATATGCAGGACACCGGCCCTCCAGGATTGACTTTGGACACCCCTGTACTAGACACTTCCAGGCAGGTGTGTTGAAGCAAGTTGGAACTAAACTCAGCAGGACAGCGGCCCTCCAGGATTGAGTTTGGACACCCCTGTCCTAATTGTTTAAATCGCTTTATCAATGTCATCTTGGCACTTTTTAGGACTCGTCATGTTTGCTGTCATCATTTTAATAATTTCACTAACAAGGTTCATCACTTAAAACATTACCTGCTACAACTTGTTTACAACTTGTTTAACTTGTTTTCATGTTAAGACCTGCTATTCCAACCTCAATACCTTCCAGTGCATTGCATTTGCCCCATGTCAGGTGTGAATATTTTTACAACATTTATTGTTATTGTGCAAAACATTAGCTAAAAGAAACTTGAAAATGTCATTGACTTCCGTAGTATTTGTGTAGTCACACATGTAAATGGACTTCCAGCCAGCTCATGATCCCCACAGAAATATCCACATTTCCTGAGCGGTGTGTTTGACTTTCTGGGCTGCCCTTACAGATGTACAAGCACTCGAATAACAAGAGCATGACGAGTGGAGCCATCGCAGCCATGCTGTCCACCATTCTGTACGGCAGGCGCTTCTTCCCTTACTACGTCTACAACATCATCGGCGGTCTGGATGAGGAGGGTGAGTTCGCTCAGGTCTTCAGGCTTAATTCAGCCATCTAAAGGTCAGGAGCGCATTAAAGGCAGTCTGGCTGACTGAAATATACTTGGCTAAACTGGCAATGAGCTGGTTATAGAGACCAAAACAAAGACATTTTGACAAGTAACCAGGGGGCTATTTCATAAAAGTGGTTAAGAAAAGCCTGACTTCAATGAGCTGAACTAAACGTCCACGCTTAAATTGATTCCATAACGGCAAGTTGAAGATCGTTTGATTTAACTAGTCTGAGTTCAGTTTAAATGATCTAGATAACTGCTCGTGCACATTTCTGTTGTGAAACCTTAAAAGTCGAGCATAGATGCATCGATTACGTTGTGTGCTACCATGGCAACTTAGAGAACTGAAAGAGCTCTGAAATGAGACACAGCTGTTCACAGCGAGTGAGTCACGAAACTGCAGATTGTTTAATAAGCTACAGTAGCTCTATATTTTTAAATATATGCTATTATTTATGCCTATTAACATGAAATTAAATATTTGTTATAAAACATAGTAATTGTGCTTGACCGCGCATGTGCATGAGAGAGAATTTGCGCTTACTGCCAATTGTTGCTTGCAATTAAACGTTTTAATGCATTGCGTTAAATATATTTGTGCATATACATTAGATTATTCAGTACCAATGCAAAGTTTGGAATATATATATATATATATATATATATATATATATATATATATATATATATATATATATATATATATATATATATATATATATATATATATAATTTTTTTTTTTTGCTATTAAGTGACTAAAGTTTTAATCATTATTAAGAGGTTAAGTGAATTTAAATGGCATCAAATTATGTCAGGTGAATGTTAACATTACTTTGATTAAGCTTAAACTTAAGGCTTAGCCTTGGAGTTAGCCTGCCCCGGACCAGGCTAGTTTCCCAGCCTAAGTTGCCAGGGTAACTAAGTTTGAACTATCGTAAATTTGATTTATGAAACCGAATCCGCCATTAATAAACCTGACTTACCAAAAAAAGCCTGGCTTTTTCTGTAAGCTTGGTTGATGGAATAGCCCCCTGCATTTTCAGGTAGATTTATTTATTTATTTTTTTATTAGAATATGCAAAAAGGTACATAAATTGGGATCATACAAATACAAAAAACATCAACAAAAAACCATAACAAAACAACAATAAAAAAAACAATAAAAAAAAAAAAAAAACAATATAGTCAGGTACTGTTAGGTGTGTGTGTGTGTGTGTGTCCATGTAAAGGTAACTTGGTGGAAGGTCAGATTACATACATTAGGAACAATGTTAGCCAATAAATGAATCTAGTCTCGCAGATATAAGTAAAACAGATACAAAAGAAACCAGTCAGAGTTAGGGAGTAACAACTATGCTTAGTAATGTATAATAGAAATAATGACAGTAAAAAGAAAGAAATGACAACAGTAATAATAAATGATAATAAATCACAAGTACTACCCTAACTACTACTACTGCAGAAAGTTACTTATATTACTATATAATTATTAACTACTATTGCTGCTACTACAATCACAACCACAACTATTACTACTATAATGTCTACTACTGCTGATACTACCACAACAATGACTACCACTACTGATACTACAGCGTCTGCTACAACTAATACAACGTCTACTACTACCGCAATCACTGCTACTACAACATCTACATCAACGACATCTACTACTGGTACTACTACACCAACAACGATTACTACTGCTACAACGACACTTTTACTACTTCTGCTACCACTATACCAACGACATCAACTACTACAGGAACTAATACTTCAATAATCACAATTACGATCGATACTACTACAATGACTACTACAACTACTACACCAACAACGACTACTACTACTACTACTGCTACAACGACACCTTTACTACTTCTGCTACCACTATACCAACGACATCAACTACTACAGGAACTACTACTTCAAAATACAATTACAATCAATACTACTACGATGACTACTGCTACAACTACTACTACTACAACAACAACAACAACAATTACTGCAACCTTAATAATGATAATCGTATTAATATTTTCAGGTAGATTAATATTGTGGTATTTGTATACTTTATAAGAGTCACAAACTCACAGCACCTTTAAAAACCCCTCTTCATTACCACAGAAGAACCAATAAACAAGATTACTGTGGTAATGCTAGGAAACTGCATGTTGCATTTTCAAATTTCGGCCATCCCATATTAATGAATACGTTGTCAGTGCAGACACTTGACACTTTTATGATCTTAAGTCTCTCCAAATGGTTGATCAGTTTCGTTTCACTAATGCATGTACACATTTTTCTTGAACACAGAACGGTGTGATTAAATAATCATGTGTTTTGCTTTATTCCAGGTCGAGGTGCTGTTTATAGTTTTGATCCAGTTGGTTCCTACCAGAGGGACACGTATAAAGCAGGTGGATCAGCGAGCGCAATGCTGCAGCCGCTCCTCGACAACCAGGTCAGAGTTCAGATTATCATCATAATATTAAATAGTCCATCTTAAACCCCATTCAGACCAGCAGTTTCTCCCATCACTACCAAACTTAAGTACACATGAAGTCAAAACTAACCATATTAGGAAAAAAACAATAGATTGCCCTTATAGTCTTTAATTGAAATCTGTAAATGCACTTCCTGATTGTTTTTGGGTAAATTCTCAGATTAGGTCTGTCTAATGTGGTGGGCGGGGCTAACACCCTTAACCACGCCCATCCAGCTGTCAGTCAACCAACAGAAACAGTGAGCAGGAGGAGTCTGTTAAGTTGTAATAACTCTCCCCAGACCCTTTTCCCCATCTTCCTGAATGAAACACCTACTTTACTACATCCAATCAGCTCACAGTACAAAAAACAAGCCACGCCCACTGTCTTCTCATTTATTATGCCGTTTCTCTCACAAAAGAAATGGTTACAGATTCCAGTTCACGAGGACTTTAATAGAAACCAACCATTAACTAAGTTGTTTGTTGTGCTCAGATCGGCTTCAAGAACATGGAGAACGTGGAGCATGTTCCTCTGACCCAGGAGAAGGCAGTGCAGCTGGTGAAGGACGTGTTTATTTCTGCTGCCGAGAGAGACGTGTACACCGGAGACGCCCTCAAAGTCTGCATCGTCTCCAAAGAGGGCATTAAAGAAGAGATCGTGCCGCTCAGGAAAGACTGAGACGCCTTCTCTGCACGCCAACGTTAGCCTCTTTTTGTTTCGCTCCAGATGCATCTTTCATTCTGCTCTCCTTTTTATATTCTGTCTCGAGAATAAATACCATACTGGTGTCAACATTGTGTAGTGTTCAGAGTGGTTTGTCCATTTGACAACCTCAGGTTGAGTGAAAACATCGCATCTGGATTGTGTTAAAATGTCTACGCTGTAAAAAATGCAGAGCTCCACACTAACCGATTAAGTGAAAGCAACAAATCTGAAGTAGATTGAACTTAAATTAAGTGGTCAAAAAATAAAATCTCAAGATTTGTGTAGTTTTGACACATTTTAAGTTATTTAAAAACATTTTTTATTTTAGATGGATAGACATGGAAAATGGGCCTAATCAGGTTTTTAGCTTCGATTTCAAAACTCTTACAATTATTATTTAAGTAAAAACCTCACTGTATAGTATATGCTCAAATTTACACTTAAATACTTGTATAATTTTATTGAAATATTCAAAACATATACCAGCAGAACATCATTAGCTTTGAAGACCTATTTTTTGAAGATCATTTTTACCTGTTACAGTGTTCAGACGGCAGAGAGACACCACGTTGACGTTGTGATGCCAAAATCATTGTAATACAAACGATAACATTAAAAAAACGCATGTATCGGCCACTTAAATGTTGTGGCCATTTATTGGCCAATATCAATATGGGTACCAATATAGGCAGATGTTATTATGGTGACCTACTCTATATGCAGTGTTGGGGAAAAAGTAATATATTACAATCTGTAGTATGTATTTATATATATATATATATATATATATATATATATATATATATATATATATATATATATATATATATATATATATATATATATATTAAGGGTGTCATGATTTCAATTTTTAATCAAAATCGATCGAAATTTATCGTCAACTTCAATTATCGAATCAAAAAATAGAATCGTCGATGCTGCAACGCCCCCATGTAACGTCAGCTTGGCTTGCCAAGCGGGAAAAAACAGGCTTGTTGAAGTGCTTGTTAAACTGCAGAAGCAGGAGACCCGTCGACAGAGCTTAAACCCTCTCCTCTTTCAATGAAGTCACCGGTGTGGAAGTATTTTGGATTTTCAGTTAGTTATGTTGACAACGTTCGTGTTGTCAACAAAAAAAAAAAAAAAACAGTTTGCAAGCTCTGCCATGTACGTATTACGGTTGGGATAATAGACGATGGGCGCATTGCGATCCATACACGAAAACACGAAACTCAGGCCCTGTTTACACTAACATGTCTTTGTTTTTAAATGGCATTTTAGAACGACAACAATCCACATCCACACTGGCGTGTAGCATTTCTGAGCAGCCCTCCTTCCTCACTACCGCTGAAAACGCACATCACGTGACCACACACACACACTCATTCACACACAGACACATTGTCATGCGCTCGAGACAGCGGGTCAAGGCAGTCAGCGGTTCAGTAGACTGCTTCCATCTTTTACTTTCACACAAGTACTTGGTCATTTTAGCGAACACCTCAGATACTGTTGGCTGGTTCCTGTCTTTCTGGAATGATATTGTTAAGGAGACAGCCAAAATGTGATACAATTAAAACAACTTGACCTCAAAGTTGTACTCTTGGTCTTTGTGTTCAACTATTAATCAGCTAACAGTCAGAATAATAGAAATTCATGTTTTGATTTTATTATTAAAGATCAATAATAACTTCACCATAGCACTGAAGGCCTTCACTTTGGGCATAAGAACCCATTTCACCAGTGCTAGCAAAGCAAAGTCACAACTACATCCAGTGTTATAAAGCATCATAACACTTGTCTGTAAAAAAACTAATCAACTCGAATACAATTGCAGATTTACTTAAGGGATAGTTCACCCCAAAATTAAAATTGTCATCCTTGTTTCAAACCTTTGAGCTTATTAACTTATTAAACACAAGGGAAGATATTCTGAAAAACATTGACTTCCATAGTACTTGTTATTCCTACTATGGAAGTCAATGGTTACAGGTTTCCAACATTAATGGAAATATCTTCTTTTGTTTCCGATAAAAGATAATAAAAGTTTGAAAACCACACAAGGAAGAATAAATAGTGAGTACATTATATTTTGGGGTGAACTGTCCCTTTAAGACACACACGTTCATGTAAACAGTCATCAGATATTCCAGTCTGTTGGAGAATAAAAGTGATGTACTGTTGGCTCAGACAGTGTTGAGTTTGGTGACTATGAGCACTCGTACAGACTGGTCGAATGAGGAGCAGACGCAGAGACCCTGTTTATCCGGGCTCCAGTCTAGACTGGAGATGGGTTGTGTGGACAGAGTCACGTTCTGGAGGAGATTGACAGATCCAGCGACCCCCATCTCCACATCATCTGCTCCCTTCTTACTCCTCTGGGCCGGATACTCACTGGAAAAACAGGAGGAAAGAATGCTACTGAGTAGAGCCGTCAAGCAATGAGGAGTTGAAGAGTGGCCAGCAAAAATGATTCTTTTAAGGTCGCTTTAAATGCAAATGAGATCGTGCACTTTTCAGAAGAGGGCGGAGCTGAAAATGCCTGTGTGTCATCATAGTGGCAGATTCTCAAACAAGACTAACGGCATATGCTAATGAGGGAGAGACATGTACAAAGGGAAAATGTCATGCAAGTGTTTCTGTTTTCAACATGTTTGATTATAACAATTTAATTAATAAATGTTAACCATTAGAGGCTGGATATATTCACTAACTGTTTCCACACAACTGTGTTTAAAAGCCCTAATAAAAGTGATTTTTGCATAATAGTTCCCATCGTTTCAATACTAAATATATTGTATTTTGTCATGTACTGGAAATGCAACGTCACATCAACAGCCCAGATGTTTAATAATATAAACTGCAAGAAATCACTTACTATTTCCATAAATGCAGGTTTCCCGCTCCTCCGGCTGTCATGAAGACGTCACGATTTTGAGGTAAGTGCCTCACTTGCCATATTGTGGATTTGTGAGCCTGAAAAACATCAATAAGTGCAAATTAAAGGCACGGTGGGAGATTTGGGGTCTCTCAGAAAATAGGTACGTTTTTGGCATTGCTTTAAATCCCAACCGTACGTTCACACCGAAAGCGGCGAGAGCGTCCAAGGTTGCTCTGGCCGCCCTGGCGACAACGCTGTCTGCCTTCAGCTCCGGCGGCGAGAGCGTCAAAACTCGTTACACTGATCTCGTATTTAAAGGAGCCGTTACAGCATGTCAGTTACATTCCTGCATAAAACATGTTTCTAGCGTGAAAATGATGCGCACTTCTTATCAAATTCATTTAACAATGGAAGATCAAGTTGCGTGTGGCGTGGCTTTGCTCTATTTATCCAATATGTGTCCATGTCTGAAATATCCTGAAGCAGCAGTACTGTTTTGTAATGTCACGTCTTGTGAGTTTCCCGCTTTTTTAAAGGGCCATGAAACCCCCCCTTGTTTTCACACCTCTACTTTGGAAAAAGTCAGAAAAGTGGGCGTGTCCAGCTTTGTTTAGGGGGGAGTGTCGGAGGAACTAAAGTGGGATGGTGTGGGAGTGTCTATTTGAATCTACACGTGACTCCAGCTGAGCTCTCACAGAGAGAAAATGAAAACAAAACTTAACGGCAGCAAACTATAAAAGCAACACTTCACGCTTGTTTTGCCAACACAACGTGGCGTCTCTGCCGTCTAAACACTGTGACTAATGAATATTAATGAAGTTGCACAATAGAGCGCGCTGATTGGTTTGAACCAAGTCTTACTCATGCATTAATGCAGCACACTGTAAGACGTAATAAGACACACTCTGGCACAGACGTCCAGTCTGCACGCTGGAATACACGCTATTATGTCATGACCGTGACGCAGCTTCAAAAACTCGTTTCAAACCGGAAGTACGAATTTGCTTGAAATAACGCAAAAACAACCAATTTACACTTTTTAGTGAAATATAGGCGTCCTAATAGTGTTTTTAGCAGTGTGGGACACATATACCACTGTCAACAGCTCAAACACATGTGTTTTGGTGTTTCGTGACCCTTTAAGATAAATTTATATAACAGTAATGAACATCAGTAACTTATTTAATGCATGTTCCTGTAAGAAAACATTGGAAATCCAGCAACCGCAATCATCAAACCCTTGGGAACAACTGTGGTCGGAACCAAAGTTCACAGGTCTGTGTTCTCTGAACTCCGATCAAGCGCTGGACGTCTTCAATCTGACTGCTTGCCGCCGAGCACGGTGGGAGATTTGGGGTCTCAAAATTTGGGGTCGCTGCTCCTCGCCGCCGGCTCTCATTGAAAATGAATGACTTCCGGCTACTTTGAAGCTCTTGCCGCTTTCGGTGTGAACGTACGGTAACTCTCAATACAACCGGAAATAATGCATCAATACATTAAATAGTTCTGAGATTTTTCTGACGAACCTTCTCGGAGACTGAAGCGAAGCCTTTGCTGGGGTGCTGCGTCCTCATGTCGAACACGTGAAACTTGCCTTCTAAAGATGTGGCCACTAGTTTGTTCATGTTGATGTCTTTTCTGTCGAATTCAACAGAGCACACCTGGAAAAGACAACAATAATAATTCATTCATTTTCTTTTCAGCTTAGTCCCTTTATTAATCAGGGGTCGCCACAGTGGAATGAACCGCCAACTTATCCAGCATATCTTTTACACAGAGGATGCCCTTCCAGCCTTTTCCCATCTCTGGGAAATAATAATAATAATAATAATATATTTTCATAATTCTGTTTAAATGCATCCACTGTTGTTGGGAGGCCTTTAAAAATGTGCACTGAATATTATAAACACTCACTCACCCCATTTCTGATGTTCTTCTCCCATCGTAAAGACATGTTTCTAAGATCGAACAGCTTGATGTCGCCGTTATCATATCCAGCGCACACACAGCGGTCTTGATCATTGAAAGCATGACCTAGAGGAAAAAAAGCAAGGCAAAGTGTGAGATTTACTCTGTGTTTTTTAGTCAGAACACATACAAAACATTTAGTAAATCTCTGTTTATAACTAATATTATAACAGTCTGTTGTGCATGCCTTTAGTTTCCTAAGATTTAAAGAGTTTTTGTTGAAAAAACAGTATGTATAGAACTAGAGGCACATTATATGAAATATGCGGCTAAGAAATAATTAATTAAACAATAGTAATTACAGTTTTTAAATGTTTTTAAACATCAGTAGTGTTTACCCCTATACAAGTCTGAAATTTCATTATTGATGCTCTTGAAAAGGCTTAAATTTGACTTGGTGAAACTTGCAGAAACCCTGAAAATACACATAAAAAGAAAGAAAACCCAATGCTGATCTTCAGTCAATATTGGAGGGACCGGTGACTTTTAAGCGTGAGAAATAAAAGCTGTGGTGTGTGAGCGTGTGAACTGGCTCAAATGCGTGTCCAGACTTGAGATTGTGATTAAATTAATTAAACTGAATCTTAATAAGTGTAAATAAATAAGGTGTAAAGGAGGCCAGGGTTATCAAATCCTGAATTCTTTCCTCTTCTCCATGATGACAGCACATAATATTAGACTAGATATTCTTCAAGACAGTAGTATTCAGCTTAAAGTGCATGTAAAGGCTTCACTAGGGTAATTAGGGTAAAGTTAGAGTAATTAGGCAAGTCATTGTATAACAGTGGTTTGTTCTTAAACAGTAAAAACTGAACCACCCTGATCCAGTTACTATGACCATTTATGTGAAGCTGCTTTGACACGATCTACATTGTAAAAGCGCTGTACAAATAAAGCTGAATTGAATTGATTTCTGCACACAATCCAAAACTAATATTGCTGAAGGGGCGAATAATATTGACCTTAAAATGACTTTAAAACTATTAAAAACTGCTTTTATTCTAGCTGAAATAAAACAAATCAGACTTTCTTTAGAAGACCAAATATTAGAGGAAACACTGAATCTGTTCAACATCATTTGGGGAAAATTGGAAAAAGAAAACCGGGAAAATATGAGTCCTGTCGATAACAAAACCAGTTGATGACCACTTAAACAGACGAGCTTTAAAAGATTTGTATGACCATTTCTAATTTGTTGGTAAAAAAAGAAAAGAAAGAAGGGCAAACAAACGTAAAACTCTGAAAAAGAATAAAACATTAACTCATGAACTAACTCTTGTGTGTGTGTGTAACGCAAGATTAACAATCACAGACCGAAAGCGACCGTCCAGCAGTCCCTCTTGGTTTCTCCCTCTGTGGGCTCCATGTTGACCACCGGCGTGTCTTTCTGCCGGGAGTCCCACACCTTCACTGTGCCTATTAATAAAACCACACGCAATCAAAATCCGAAGCGCAAACATTTCTAAGCGCAGTCAGTTTTCTATAAATATGTGTATCAGAGCAATTCCAGCGTTATGGTTGTGACATTTGCAGTAAAAACTCGAAATATAAATTCACAGAGTAAGTATATGTGAACATTATATCGAAACATCTGTTTATGTGTACCAAAACAACTCACTAAAGAGTTATGAGATCAGACAAATAGCAATCTGTAAACATATTTTATATTTTTAATGAGGGAAATAATCATGCATTATGGATGTGACCAAAAAAAGTCTGCGAGTTTACAGAATACAACATGCTTTGTAGACATTCAGTGAATTAAACTGCACAACCCAAAAGAAAGAATGCTAATCAAAAGGAGAAGAGTTGTCTCAATATACGGTAGAACAAACATGATTGATTTTATTTTACATGACATTTTTGCATGTATGAGGAAAAAGCTTGGTTATGGATGTGACGTCTCTCTGTTATGCATGAGACAGATGTGAAATTGGCTTTGGTAAATCAAAAATAATAGTTTGAAAACACCGACAGAGACATTTTTGAGTAGTTTACACAATTGCAAAACACTTAGAAAGGGTGAAAGCTTTGTTGACATTTGCATGCGATTTCTCGTCTGCAGAAATCCGCCTATTTACCGTCTCTACTTCCAGTGACGATCTCTGGAGCCCCGTCCCCGATGCCCAGTCCTCCCACTCCGTCAATGGCGTTTATGATCTCCTTGTGTGCTTTAACTGAGTACACCGGGCTGTCGGGCACTTCCAGATTCCTGAAGAGCAAAGATTACGCAATACTGCACTTTAAATAACAACATAATAGATAACCACAAACATAACCACATCCAGCGGGCTCCTACCAAACGTTAAGATTTCCGTCAAAGTCTCCGGTGGCCAGATGCCTCTGCTGGAGAGACGTGGCTCCAAACGTCCCACACTTGATTGGCTTGGATTTTTCTATCTAGAATATTGAAAAGTATGTTTATTAAACATCAATAATGCACAATACATCATATCAATATGTATATTGTTTTTGTCACAGGAGCAATAGTGAGGATGACTGGAGAAGGACAGGCTTGATCTGGCCAATGGCAGCAGTATTACAGATTCTGAGGTGCTGTACGGGTCAAACACCTGCAGCGCGAAGTAAATATTCACTTCTAAAAGGCTTACAGTAGGCTTATGTATTAAATACATTCACAAAGACGAAAACGAATGGTTAGTTTCAGTCAGTTTAATGTGTTCACATTACAGTTTCAGTCCGTTTTTGTTTTTTATAAACGTTTGTTTTTTATTTTTATTTCAAGTAAACGTAAATGATTGTTTTGTTTTTCATTAACTATAATAACTCTATTGGTTAATGGACAGACGGCTGCTTCTCACTCAGGGCTGCTGTTTACGTTAATGAAGGAGAGATGGGCACTAGTGGGCGGGGCTTCCCCCCTTTGATGACACGTACAAAGGGAGAATGTCAATCAAAGTGTTTCTGCAATCTACTACAATGGTAGGAAAATTTTGTTTCTCTGCAGCTTCTTCAAACAAATCAATACGATCTTTATTTCTTCATGGAATTGTGTCAGTTTCAAATGTGACTTTTTATTGGAATTCTTTCGTTTCTGATGTTGATTGCTGAAAAATATGGCTCATCCCAAATAGCTACTTAATTACATGTTAGATAAGTTTCATTTTGAATTATACATCGTACATACCCAGTAAATACTCTTAGTAAGATATAAGATATTGATGCTAATTGTTTATTTTGTAAGCAACACCCTGAGTCTCGTTCGCTTATGTTGGCAATGCAGATACTCTAATTTCCTTTGGAAAAGCTTTCTCTCTTTTTGTAATTGAGAATGTTGATGCAGACTTTTCTTTACTATGGGAAAATGTTTTGTTTGGCTTTATCAGTTAAAAAACCGAAGCTTGACATATTTTTTTTTCTTAACCTTCTTATCTTACTAACAAAACCTTATATACATACATGTAAATTTTCCAACCAAAAACCTGTTTTCATATATTTTGCTTACTGAATTGCAGTAATACTATGAAACTATTTCTTACTCACAGTCTTTAAAAACAACTGAAATTTGTCAGTTATATAATCGTTTTCTTTAATGTGTGATTTATATACCCCTTTTGTTATATATATACCCCTTATATATACCCTTTTTGCTGTTATTTTTCTAATTAGGGGCCAAGCACCGTAGGTGCGTAGGCACCTATTGGATCCGTTAGCGTTCCTATTATTATTATTCTTCTTGTTTGTTTGTTTGTTTGCTTTATTTATAGAGCACATTTAAAAACAACAGATGTTGACCAAAGTGCTTTACAAAACGACCAGCATACAAAATCTATACCTATATATAAAAAATTTGCAAAATATATAAAACAGATTAAAATTAATTACAATCAAAGGCAAGAGACAGAAGGTGATTTTTTAGATGAGACTTAAAAGCACCAAGTGAAGAACATGACCGGATCTGTAAAGGCAGACCCTTCCATAGTCGGGGGGCTGCAGCAATAAAACCCTTTCACCTCTTGATTTCAACCGCGTTTTGGGGACAACTAGCTGAAACGTGTTTTCGGACCTGATTGGCCTCAATGAAGTGTGCCAGTGAAGAAGCTCAGAAATGTAAGTCGGTGCCAGACCATTCAAACTTTTAAAAACTAGAAGCAATAATTTATATTGAATTCTAAATTGGACTGGGAGCCAGTGAAGAGACAATAAAACTGGTGAGATACTAGAGGATTTTTTTGTCCCAGTTAAAAGCCTAGCAGCTGCATTTTGAACCAGCTGCAGGCGTGCTATTGATGCCTGTGAAACTCCAGAATACAAAGAGTTACAGTAGTCCAGTCTTGACATAATAAAAACATTAATGACAGTTTCCAGCTCTTTAAAAGAAAGAAAAGGCTTCAATTTGGCAATGTTCCCTAATTGATAGAAACCACTTTTGACAACTGAGTTTATTTGCTTGTCAAACTTTAACTCAGTGTCAAAAGTAACTCCAAGATTTTTTACGTGACTGTGGACCTTAGGCTTGATCGAACCTAATTTATTAATTGTAGATTCACAGACACTCGGAGGACCAAACACTAGTACTTCAGTTTTTGATTCATTCAAGTGTAAGAATTCTTCTTCCATTTCTTCCACCGGATATGAATGGCAGCCCATATAGGCGTATGCGGGAAAGTTGTATAATTTGGCACAATGATAGAGGACAGTCTTAACATTAATCAGACCAAATGTGAAGTCTCAAAATCAAACTCTCTAGCGCCACCACTTGTCCAAACTTTCACGTATGTTTATCATAATAACTTTTGAACCGAATGGGCTACAATCAAAATTCCGCTGACTCCTTGGCTCAGTCCGATTCAAACGCACCCTATGACATCATTTTCCGTCATGAATTTTTTCGCGCTATTTTAAATTTTTCGAAAAACCTATTTGATCGAACTCGTCCTAGGCCGTTTCTGCGATTTTCACCAAAATTGAATCACATGATCTACAGACCATGCCAACCAAGAGTTATGGAATTGAAGTTGATTAGACCAACTGTTTTCGCTTAACTTGCGATCAAATTTAACGTAGAACTTGCGAAAATGGACTTGAGACGATATCTCTGTAACGCATTCACCGATTCACACCAAACTTGGTGTGTGTTATGACAACTAGGGTCCGAGGTTATATGCTGAGTTTTGGCACATTGCCCCCTAGTGGTCCGGAGATACAAAAAACTTGATTTTTGGCTTATAACGTCTCAACCTTTCGTCCGAAACTGATAAAACTTGTCTCATTACATCCGGCAGAGCATGTCGAGTCGAATGATGTCTGATTTTCACAGGTCAGCCATTTTGGGCGTCGCCCATTTCGATTTTTGGCCAAAAACACTATATTTTACCAACATATTCACATATCATTACAAAACATGGTATTCATCTTCAACCCCATGCCCTAAAAGTACTCAAAAATTAAATATATATATATATATATATATATATATTATATATATATATATATATATATATATATATATATATATATATATATATATATATATATATATATAAATTAAATATAATTTTAAAAAAGTGTTTCCGCAGACTGTTTTTATTAAGTCTGATTACATCAAACACAATTAATTCATCTTTACCATTAGAGGCTGGAGATATTCACAAACTGCTGACACACAACTGGGGTTAAACCCCTTATAAAAGGGATTTTTGCATAATAGATCATGAATAAATCTCTATTTTTAACTGATCCCTGACTAGTCTTATAGTCATGATTCACATGTGTATTGTGGATGAATATGAACTATGACGGTGAAGTAAACGTTAATAAACGCGTTGTAAACAGAGACTGAGGCAGTTGAGTTTTGTCGCCATGGCAACCGCGCCTCAGGACTTTTCTAGAAAGCGCCGAACTGGCTTAGCTAATAAACAGCAAAGCTTTTCAGCAGTTTGATTTGTGCTTCAGTGAATATATACTATGAAGAGACCTGACCTCTCTGACCAGCTGCAGCTCCCCGTGCTGGATCTCGTAGATCTGCATCACTCCGGTTCCTCTCGCGAAGTTTCCCATACAAACAAACTTGGCGCTGCACGGAATCCATTTGCTCTCGAACACCGTGTAGTTCAAGCTCTTCTGGATGTGCGCGATGATCTGCGGCTTCTCGAGAGCTGCTGACATGATCTGTGCTCAATATGAAACTAAAATCTATCAGTTTGAGCAGAAGGAAAGAGATGTCAGTTGCGCTGTTTGCTTCTTCTTTGTTTCAATGGCTGTTGACAACCCTCTTAAAAGCTATACTTCCGCCACCTGGTGGATTGGTGTGGGTTTTTGCTAAAAGGGATACAGCTGCGGTCGAGAATTATTTATATTATTTAACTACACATCTATTGTATTTTATTAACATCAACCCCAACCCTAAACCCAATTCTGACAGTATTATTTATTAAATAACCTATTAATTGTATGTTATTACCATATTTCCATCTACCCCTACCTCAACAATAAACCCAAACCTCACAGTAATGCAAAAACAGCAATTAAACAGAGTATTAGTCATATTATTTCATAAATTAACCATTAATTTTATTGTATTAACGTCTATCTCTACCCCAAACCTAAACCCAACCATAACAGTAATGTAAAAACAGGTATACACAGTATTAGTCATATTATTTATTTAATTACCCATTCATTGTAATTTATCAATGTCTACCCCCACCCCAGTAATGGAAAAAGTAATAATACAAAGTATTATTCATATTTTTTATAACATTACCTATTAAATTGAATTTTTATTAACATTTACCCCTTTTATCACAGTAATGTGAAAATATTAATTATTGTTGTAGTGTTACACAAATTATGTCATATTGATGTACCTGCAACTGCATCCCTTCTAGACTTCACTGTTTTTTTTACTGGATACTAGTAATATATAACAGAATAAAATGTATTTTACACACACACACACACACATATATATATATAATCTTTATAGTTCATTCTCCTTAAATTCCATTTATTATACCTATTGCATTTCACTGATTTATAATCGCAAAATACACTTCATATTGTTCTGGGGCATTTCTTAACATATTCTTAATTGTTATATTCTCAATTTTCAATAGACTGAACTTTGTTGCTCTTATACCGAGTGCTTTTGTTATTGTTTTTTAATTCACCCCAATTTATTGCTTAACATATTCTTAAATTAAAGGGACTAAGCCAACAAGAAAATGAATGAATGAATATTCTTAAATTCTCATTTGTTTTAAACTTAATTCTCCATAAGTTTCACTCATTTAGTATTCATAATTTCTAATAATATGTTTCTCTATCTGCACTGCTCCACATTTATTAACATTTCCTGATTCACGTTTTACAATAATGAATGTCTGGTAGGTGCTGTCTGTGTTTATCTATCTATCTATCATGTTTGTCTGTCTATCCATCCATCCGTCCGTCTATATCTGTCTGTCTATCCGTCCATCCTATCTATCTATCTATCTATCTATCTATCTATCTATCTATCTATCTATCTATCTATCTATCTATCTATCTATCTATCTATCTATCTATCTATCTATCTATCTATCTGTCTGTCTGTCTGTCTGTCTGTCTGTCTGTCTGTCTGTCTGTCTGTCTGTCTGTCTGTCTGTCTGTCTGTCCGTCCAATAGTATATTTATAGGCTACACGTGAGCTCTCCGGTGTTTTCCTACAGCGTGAAGGACCCTCAGAACATAGTTGACCCACATTTAGCCTAATCAAAATGAACAAAAAAAATCTTCACAACTCAAAATAACTCAAATGTTTTTTTTAATTTAATAAATTCGAATTAAATCTAAACATTTTAAAACAATTACCTTAGACATCACTGTAGCCTTTGGATTTATTTAGTAATAAGCATTAGCATTTGGCACCGCTCCGGGCAGCAGTACGGTCCTTTCTGTAACATGGCCGACGCCACATGTCGATGGTAAACATCTGTGCTGGAGTGTAGTTTTTAATAAATTAGTAAACTATGGAATCTGTATCAGATTCGACAGCAGAAGTAAGCGCTACTATGGATTGTGATGGAAACACAGAAGCGTTTGAGAAAGTCAAAAGTAAGAAAAGAGAGAAGCGCAAGCGCGCCGCGGCGGAGATGGACACGCAGACCGAGGAGAGCAGCAGCAGCGCGCCGGTGAAAAGGCCACATTTCCCGGCCCTGTCCGGAGACCAGCTCGGGGTAAGACTGAACATATAAACAGTAGACATTCTGTGTATTCTTACACCAACTAGGAGCTGTTACGGGAGTCCAGTGTACGTTATTACCGTCAGTAAACGGGACAAAACGCTTAACAACATATATTACTAGTATTTTTGATAATTTTAAGGGCACCTATTATGCAAAAATCACTTTGTTAAGGGATTTAAACTCAGTTGTGTGGTAACAGCGTGTGAATATAACCAGCCTTTAATGATAATCATTGATAAATTGAATTCTTTATAATCAGACTTTATGAAGGAAACACTTTTATTGACATTCTCCCGTTGTACGTGTCATCAGAGGGGGAAAGCCCCGCCCACTAGTGACCATCTCCCCCTCATTAGCATAAACAGCAGCCCTGAGTGAGAAGCAGCCGTCTGTCCATTATAACATGTCTGCTGAACGCTCTTATTTGGTTCATTGTGTGAACGGATATCTGAACATTCTGCTTGATAATCAAGTGTGTGTTTTGTGTTGCTGTTGTTTTCAGGGCGGTGTGGATGAAATGCGCAAAGTGCCGGTTCCTTCTCACCGATACACACCTCTGAAGGAAAACTGGCTGAAAATCTTCACCCCCATCGTGGAAAACCTGCAGCTCCAAGTGCGATTCAACCTCAAAACAAGACAGGTGGAGATTAAAGTAAGTGCTGACAGCAGGATTACGACTAAAGCTGGGCAAGATTAACCACATCCAAATTAAAAGCTTGCTTTGGCATAATGTTTGTGCATTTATTACGTATATATAGAACATTTTGAGAGATGCAAGCAAAAACAATGGTCCCAACGTATTTCCTGTTTTACATTTTTAATTTCTAAAGTTTCCAATAGTACAAAAAAAGAGCCCCATATTGATAAATGATGTTATGACAGCTGTTTTAACATTAGGTTATGCTTGAATTGCCTCTTGTTACAGTTATGAAATGGTTCGACAACAAGCAGGAAATGTTCATGGGCCAATGACATGACCACATTGACAAAGTCTATTAATACTAGCATGCATAAATATGAAAACAAGGTTTTTTAATGTTTATATATAAAATATAAATGAAACAAGTGATATATAAATGTAAATATCTATGTATTAGGATAGTCTTGTATAGTTTGGTTTAATCTATGCGTGTTTTTATTGAGAATGGTCAGCTCAAGTGATGTCAGGATATAGTTTATGAAAATAGATTCTGTATTATTTGCTCAAATGTACGCAGTAATAATAAACTAGTCTGCTTTTACAGACGTGCAAAGAAACGCAGGACATCGGTGCTCTGACCAGAGCTGCAGACTTCGTGAAGGCCTTCGTGTTAGGATTTCAGGTGGAGGTCAGTGTCAGTTATTAACGGGTGAATTAATAATATTTTGCAGTGACGCTTGGTACACGTGAATGTTGTTTGCATTACATTTCTATTTGAGTTTCAAAATGATTGTTTTACTTCATAAGTAAGATTTATTTAATTAATTAATTAGTATCATCATTTTTGGGGGTTCCAAACTAGTACTGTCAAAAAATGAATCATGACTAATGGCATGCAAAATGAATGCTTGTATTTACATAATTTAAATCTAAAGTATGTGTACTGTGCAAATATAACTGGTATTCATATATAAATACAAACATTCATTTTTATTATTATTTTAAATATGTTTTTTTTTGTTAATTAATTGTTTGACGGCACTAAAAATGTTTTAAATGTACCCAAAACTCTGAAGTTAGTCTATTATTACAGCTCCGATCAATGTTTAGTATCTAATACTGCATGCGCAGAGTGGTCGTGCACCCGGGGGAGACTATCCCCCGGTTTCACAAACAAGGTTTAAGCCTAGTCAAGATTAAATTGCTTGTTTGTATTCAAAATAACTTGCGGTGAGACGTCTTAAAATATGTCAGTGTCATTTTTTTGTCTCCAGGTGCACATCAGTCATATTTTTCTAAGGCCATTTTTTATAAATGTTTCTTAAATAGCCTATTTTAACTAAGGCCTAGTCTTGGCTCAATCTAAGCCCTGTTTGTGAAACTGGGCCTGTGTGTTTTATGTGGGGATGAAGAGACTGGGGAAAAGGTAAAAAGGGGTTTAAAGACCTGCGTAAAGGTATCTTTGTTTAATGTTTTGTCATGTGATGTATTTACAAATGAAGTGTATGTTTTGACATAAAAGGAAAACTTACCTGAAGAATGTTTCATGTAGAAACGTATCATCTACTCACCTGCAAATGGTTGAAGCCATAAGTGGGCGGAGTTGCTCACTATAAAAAGAGCGACTCGCGCTCAGTTCAGGGTGGGAGTCGTAGGAGTTTGGAGGTCTCAGTTGTGGAGAATAGTTAGTTGGAGAGTATTAAATCTGGATAGCAAATATTTTGTATATAATTATTTTGTTACTCTATTTTTTTGTTGTGTTTGTTTATATATATTTATTTATTTATTGTTGATTTTTCGATTGGAAACTTTTGCACTGTAAATAAACACACCTTTGCACCATAGTGCTACGTCAGCTGAGTCATCATTTATTTTCGTTTTGTTCCACACATACCCTAACAATGCCTCTGTGTGACAGTGTAATAAGCGTGATAATGTACATCCAGCTGGTTGTTATTACAGAATAAAAACCCTTAGTCTGATAAGCCCATCAGGCTTTATTCTGCCTGAACAACTGACTGGATGTGCGTTATATTTTACTATTAATATAACAAGAAATTTCACAATTATCTAATCTTATCACTCACAGGATGCTCTTGCGCTGATCAGATTAGATGAACTGTTTTTGGAAACATTTGATGTCACAGATGGTAAGTCAGTCTGAAATCTGAGCTATTTTGTATGAGTACTCTATTTTATACGCTGACTTCTGTGTGTGCTTTTGCAGTTAAACCTCTGAAAGGAGATCATCTGTCCAGAGCCATCGGCAGAATAGCAGGAAAAGGAGGAAAAACAAAGTTTACTATTGAGAACGTCACCAAAACCAGGATCGTGCTCGCAGACACGTCAGTAAACTCAGATCTTCTTAATCCTTCTTGATGCATTTTATCAACTCTAGCAAGAATATTTGGAAATATTCGTAGTAAATGTGAATTGTGTGTTTGATTAGTGTATTCAGTGCTCTTGCTATATATCATGTCATTTACTGTAGTTTTGCAATATATGAATCTCTTTTTGTGTCATTTATTTCACTGTTTTTTCTATTCATGATATTTCTTTGTCTTTTCAGGAAGATTCATATATTGGGGTCTTTCCAGAATATTAAAATGGCACGAACAGCAATATGCAATCTCATTCTCGGTTAGTAATATTACATCTATACATGTATATTTAAATTATATGGGCCCTAAAATTTCTGTCTCTATTTACTTGTATATTTGGCTAAAGTCTATATGTGCATCTAAAAAAGTAACAAGTTTATTATTATTTCTTTTTTGCAGCTGAATAAAAATATTACTCATATTCTAAATTCGCTGCAATCAAAGTAACATATTTAAGTATCTAATATTTAAAATTAAAAATGTAAAGTTTTATTCTAGAACATACTCCAATGCAAATGTTTAAAAAAAATGTGTATTCTGGAGCGATTTTACAATATTATCATTAATCAATTTGAAACAACTTGTATTTTCTGGCTATGTTCAGGTTATGTTCTGGTTAAGTTCTGTCTATGTTCCAGTGAAGTTCTGACTATGTTCAGGTTAAGTTCTGGTTATGTTCTGTTTATATTCAGCTTATGTTCGGTCTATGTTCCTTCTATGTTCAGGTTAAGCTCTGGCTATGTTCCAGTTATGTTCTATCTAAGTTCAGGTTAAGTTCTGACTATGTTTAAGTTATGTCAGTCTATGTTCTGGATAAGTTCTGGCTATATTCAGGGTAATCTCTGACTATGTTCCGGTTATGTTCTGTTTATATTCAGCTTATGTTCGGTCTATGTTCCTTCTATGTTCAGGTTAAGCTCTGGCTATGTTCCGGTTATGTTCTATCTAAGTTCAAGTTATGTCAGTCTATGTTCTGGCTATGTTTGGGTTAATCCCTGATTATGTTAGTTAAGTTCTGGCTATATGCAGGTTATGTTCGGTCTATGTTCCGTTTAAGTTCTGACTATGTTCAGTTTATGTTCCGGTTATGTTTAGGTTGCATTCTGACTATGTTAATGTTATGTTCTATCTATATGTTCAGATTAAGCTCTGGCTATGTTCCGGTTAAGTTCTGTCTATGTTCAGGTTATGTTCTTGAACCTTTACTACAAGTGGTGCCATGAATATAGCCAGTGCTGCTGATATAAACAGTAACTTTACCCAATACTGCTGATATGCATGTTCAAAATAAATATATATTAGTAAACAGTACTAATGCTTAATCTCACCCTCACAGGCAGTCCTCCATCTAAGGTGTATGGGAATCTGCGGGCCGTGGCCACTCGATCAGCGGAGAGATTTTAAACACTTGAAGATCAGCTCCTGCAAAACACACGGATCACAGACTGACACACAAACACATCTAATTTCTATTGTTAGAGCCACATGGGCCTGAAAATGTCTATGATGAACCAGTGGACTCAACATTACTGCTGCTTCACACAATAAACACATCATGAGTGAACAGAAAGAGACACGACTGGATCCCGTATGCAATGTCAAGTTTAAATCTTTATTGTTTCATACAATATCAGGTAGTCCATAAATCCCATAGCAGTTAATCTGATGCAGCATGCAAGAAAAAGAAACAAAACATCCCATAACTCACGCATTAATGTGCTTTTATATGTAGGACAAACCCAAATCATTCACCAGAGGCTGCAGAAAACCTTTAGAAAGCTTCGATAAATTGTATTTACAAAACAGGGGGAGATGATGGAACCGGGGCCTGTACCATGAAGCCGGATTTGATGGTTAGCCAGATTAGTTTTAGTTTACTGCAATCCTGGGTTTCAGGTACAACATAAGTATTTTGGCAATAACTGCTCTTTGTTGCCATGGTAACTTGCGCTGCATGGCTAACCAGCTCTAGTTGTTATGTTCAGGAAAAGTTCTGGCTATGTTTAGGATAAGTTTATTCTATGTTCAGGTTAAGTTTTGGATATGCTGAGGCTACGTTCAGGTCATGTTCTGGTTATGTTCAGGTGGACTTTCTGTCCATGTTCTGCATAAGTTGAGGCTATGTTTAGGATAAGTTCTAGTCATGTTTAGCTTAAGTTGAGGTTATGTTCAGGATAAGTTCTGGCTATGTTCTGGTTATGTTCAGGTAAATTAGAAGCTATGTTCAGGATAAGTACTGGCCATGTTTTGGTTATGTTAAGGTTAAGTTTGGGCTATGTGTAGGATAAGTTCTGGCCTTGTTCTGGTTATGTTGAGGCTAAGTTCAGGTGAGTTCAGTTCTGGTTTAGAGATCACTAATCAATGACAAAGACAAGCCTTTACTTTCTCTTGTGTTAAATTAAGTCACTTAATAGTGAAACCTAGATGAAATGAATTTAAATATATTAGATGATTTATATATTTATTATAGTCTTAACCATTTAGTCTAATTGTATATAAATGTACAGATATGCATCTGAAATTTTAAAGCTTTATTTTTTAATCATCAGATTAAGCTTTGATAAAAGTTTCATGAGCTTAAATTTTAGAGTTTCTGTAAACCTACACAATACGCATTATCAACTGTACATATTACCTTAACGTCATTAATTAGCAATTTTTTTAATCTTAGCCTATAAATTGTGCAGACTACACTTTAACTCAATTACAGCATCTTTATGTTTTGAGGTCTGTGATTGGCTGTTAGCTACTGATTCCCCGCCTTCATGAACTCAGGATCAAAGCCTGAGCTAACAAAGTTGATGCCCTGCAATGCATCATCACACTAACAACAAAGCCTGACTCCACCGGTATGGTTAACAAAAACTGATCCTGTAACCCTGAGTTTGTTGAGCCTCCATCATGGTACAGGCCTCTTAATCAAACATAATTATCTGACAATAATATAAATGCATTTGCAATTTGGCAACACAAGTAATGCATTTTGTGGTTCTTTTGCCGTCGGATATAAATTTCACATCAAGCAGAGGTGAAACATGCAGAAGTTAAAGCAAGCACAGCAGAAGCCAGAATAACTGGGTTAAAGAGGGCTGAGATTTGGTTGCTCCAGTCATGCATGTAAACATTCAGAGTAAATGCATTCCTGACTTGAACCTCTAGTCTTGTTGAAGAACATTTCACTGAACCCATTTTACAAGCTTTTGGCTGTTTTAAAGCTTGTGTGTGTTGAATAAACTGTAATACATACGGTTATTAAAGCACAAGAGTATCTGCTGCTGTTATATTTGACTATACAAAAGACGGAGATGAAACCATGGATATAGAGGATCTCAGCTTAGATACTTCACACACATTAAATGTCAAAGCAAAACATTTTCAGCTGAAAGAAAGATCACAGGATTATTTTTGAGATCAACGTTTGAACAAGTAGAGGTTTGTTAAGGAATCAGTTATATGCCAAATGTTATGATATACGGTTATCGGGCTCCGTTAGTAATAGTATGTATTTTCTAACATGAACATACTAGCACAGCATTTATTAATCATAGTTCAACATTTACTAATGCACTCATAAAATCCAAAGTTGTGCTTACTAACATTATTCAATGCACTGTAAGTTAATTAACTACTTGGTTAACTAAGAACGACTTTATTTTGATTAACGTTACCAAAGATGTGTAAATACTGTAATAAATGTATAGTTCATTGTTTTTAAACTAAAATCAGCTAATGTAATCTTCTAATTATTAACGTGTTACCAAATATATTCAAAATATGCACAAAATTTAATCAATTTACTTTGCATTTCGTAAAATTGCTGTATTTTCTGTAATTAATTTCTTTACAGTAAATTACCAGTAATTTTCCGTCTGTAATTGCATGCAATAAAATGCTACTGCAGTTCACAGAACGGCCACCGATGTCACTAAAACGCATTAATTTATACATTAATCATTTATACGGTACTTAATAGCTGGGTTTCCATCCTAAAGTGAAGCAAAAACAATAATCTTAAATTAATCTTAAATTACATGCGTTTCCATCAAGCATTTCGAAAAACAGACGAAACAAAGATTCTAGTATTTCATTTTTTTAAAGAGCCTGATCAAACATGATCTCTTTACGGTAATTTACTATTAATTTTCCATCTAAAAATCCGTAACTGTGAGCAAAAAGATGCTGCTGCAGTTCACAGAACGGCCTCCGGTGTCACTAAAACATTCTGAATTCTACATTAATATTTTATACGGTAATCAATAGGTGGGTTTCCATCCTAAAGTAAAGCAAATCTATTTAAAATTCACAAGTTATAATCCTAAATTGGAATGACGTGTATTTTCAACAAGTTAGAGTGGCTGACTGTAGTATTGGTAGCCTAGCAACCAATGGTAAACAAGGCAAGCATAATGTAGTCACGTCACGCATTTATTCGGCAAATGTCTTCGCATTAACCTTTGTTTAACCAAATCCAAAACCACCTCAAGCAAGCAATTTTCCATCTGTAATTGTGAGCAATAAGATGCTGCTGCAGTTCACAGAACGGCCACCGGTGTCACTAAAAACATTCTAAATTCTACATTAATCTTTCATACGGTACTCAATAGCTGCGTTTCCATCCTAAAGTGAAGCAAAACTTTGTAAAGGTTGCAAATAATAATACATAATGCGAATTACGTGCATTACATCAAGTTGTAAAAAAAAACCAAGTCCACATCAAGCAAGCAATTTCCAGTCGGTAATTTCGAGCAACAACATGCTGCTGCAGTTCACAGAACGGCCACCGGTGTCACTAAACACCCTGAATTCTACATTTATATGATAATCAATAGCTGGGTTTCCCTCCTAAAGTGAAGCAGATCTTTTTAAAATTCGCAAATAATAATCCTAAATGGTAATTGCGTGCGTTTCCAACAAGAGTGGCTGACTGTAGTATTGGTAGCCTAGCAACCAACAGTAAACAAGGCAAGCATAATGTAGTCACGTCACGAGTTTGGTAGGCAAATGTGTTCGCATTAACCTCGCATTACGTCCAGAGCACTTCAAAAAAGCAAAATTAAGGGATTATTATTCAAAACTTTGCCTTTCCATCACTCATTTCTCATGCAATACGTTACTTTAACCTGAGTAATTAACACAGGCCAATGGAAAACTCAGTGTGTTACACAGGATAATTTCAAGACTTTCACGACGTTGGCTTTTTAAAATGATATTAAAATCAGAAGCTGTGTTTTAATCCTGTTTTTATGCGCATTTTAGAATATCAATTTACAAAATACACAAAGATGCGCATAAAAAAAACCCATGTGCACATTTAAGTAGGATTAACTTTATTTCTAATAAGAACAATGCACATAAACTACAATATAAACACATTCAGTGAATAAAGTCTGCGCATTTGGATGATTTTACAAGTGTAAATGTGTGTGTGAGGGTGTTTGCGTCATCAGTGCTGGTCTGCAGCTCTCCATGTTTCCAGCTTTATATTGTAAACGATCTAAAAATGTTGTTGTGCTGATTACAAAGGCCACCACAGTGCTTCAGTATCATTCGTCTTCTGTTACTATATCCTCCAGAACTGTCTTGAGCATCTGTCTGCACTCCTGTCTCACGCCTCCAAAAGCCACCGCGCTCATTGCATTTCGTCTTCTGCAGCGCAGCTCATTTATTAGAGGAGAACAAACACATCAAACTACAGTCAGAATGGAAACGCTGCTTCATCCTCGAACGTTTAATGCAATATTGCAGTTTGCGCATTAATCAAATTCGCATCTTAGGATGGAAACGCACCCAAAGTACCATAGATACCTGCTAAATATTTAAAAACAAGCAAACTTTCAGCGCAGATTTGCTTTGACATTCGCACATGCATTAGAACTAATTATGCGCGTCGGCTGCTGCATCTGGGATTAACGTGAAGCGTGAACCGAATTGTTGTCTTGTTAATTAACATTCTACAACACCGTCTCAATGACAGAAGATGCACTTTCAATATAAACATTTATACATGATCACCATTAATACAAAAGAACAGGTATTAAACATGGTTAGATGCTAGAATAATAGAAATAGTGTATATCACAAAGTCAAACAGACAGACGCTCGGTTTCGTCATGCAGTTGAAGAGAAGCTTTTTGTTTGTGTGTTTGTTCTGTATGTTCTGCTTGGCACACGTCATACCTTATATATATATATACTTATAGATATCATACTTAATATTTTTTCTTCTTCTTCTTCTTCAAAAGATTAAATTAATTGTAAAAAAACAAACAAACAAAAGCATTAAAAAATAAAACTAAATAAATATGGTTTCCTCCTCAGCTGAGATGCTCGTTCAGTGTCCGCCAGCAGGTTATTGAGCAGCTCAATAACACACACACACACACATACTCACGCACACACACTCGCGCACACACACACTGGCTTCTAGTTGACAAAAGTGGCTTAAATACTTCCATTGAAACACACAGAGAGCATTTGCTGGATATCCAGAGAGGAAAGCGGATCAGATGGAGAGCAGCTCCATCACACGTCCACAACCATCTTCTTGTGTATATCCAGACCTCCAACAACCTGCAGACAACACACAGGTGTTATGCTTTCCAATGCAATCTCGATTTAGTGCATAATTTATAAGCGAGGGGGATCACGGGATAGCACAACGTATCATGTCAGCATTGATGTCGCAACGTGTGCATCTGTAATAGTCACATCGCAGAATATGCAACGTTGAGTTAGGATTATAAGCCTGCCACAGTAATCAATATATGGATTTAATCGCACAATACATGGACATGTGCTCCACTTTTGGTGATGCAATATTCACTCACCGGCCACTTTATTAGGTACACCTGTCTAGCTGCTTGTTGCGCAAATTTCTAATCAGCCAATCACATGGCAGCAGCTCAGTGCATGTAGACATGGTCAAGAGGATCTGCTGCAGTTCAGAGCGAGCATCAGAATGAGGAAGAAAGGGGATTTAAGAGACTTTGAACGTGGCATGGTTGTTGCTGCCAGACGGGCTGCTCTGAGTATTTCAGAAACTGCTGATCTACTTTGATTTTCACGCACAACCATCTCTAGGGTTCGCAGACAATGCTCCGACAAAGAGGAAATATCCAGTGAGCGGCAGTTCTGTGAGCGCAAATGCCTTGTTGATGCCGGAGGTCAGAGGAGAATGGCCAGACTGGTTCCAGCAACAGTAACTCAAATAAGCACTCGTTACAGCCGAGCTCTGCAGAAGAGCATCTCTGAACACACAACACGTCCAACCTTGAGGCGGATGGGCTACAGCAGCAGAAGAGCACACCGGGTGCCGCTCCTGTCAGCTAAGAACAGGAAACTGAGGCTACAATTCACACAGACTCACCAAAACTGGACAATGGAAGATTGGAGAAACGTTGCTGCTCTGATGAGTCTCCATTTCTGCTGCCACATTCGGATGCTCGGCTCACAATTTGGCCTCAACAACATGAAAGCATGGATCATCCTGCCTTGTATCAGCGGTTCAGGCTGGTGGTGGTGGTGTAATGGTGTGGGGAGATTTTCTTTGGGTCCATTAGTACCAATTGAGCATCAACGCCACAGCCTACCTGAGTATTGCTGCTGACCATGTCCATCCCTTTATGAGCACAGCGTCTCCATCTTCTGATGGCTACTTCCAGCAGGATAACGCAGCATGTCATAAAGCTCAATCATCTCAGACTGGTTTCTTGAACATGACGATGAGTTCACTGTACTCAAATGGCCTCCACAGTCACCAGAGCTCAATCCAATAGAGCAGCTTTGGGATGTGGTGGAACGGGAGATTGGCATCATGGATGTGCAGCCGACAAATCTGCAGCAACCGTGTGATGCTATCATGTCAATATGGAGCAAAATCTCTGAGGAATATTTCCAGTAGCTTGTTGAATCTACGCCATGAAGTATTAAGGCAGTTCTAAAGGCAAAAGCGGGTCCAACCCGGTACTAGTAAGGTGTACCTAATAAAGTGGCCGTTGAGTGTATATTCCCAATGCAAAAAAAATAAAAATAAATAAATTCTAGCAACATTTGAGTTGGTTGTGCAACATCTCTATCTATATTGGAGGTGTCAGTAGTGTTAAAACACTGTAGTATTTACAAATAATTACTATAGTATTTTTACATATAACCCAATTCAAACAGAGCGTCAGCTTCAACGCTTCACTTTGAATGGGCGACGCCAGGCGTTGTTGAACTGCATTGCGGATTCGTCGGTGCTGCTTTAGTGGCGTTGCTCTCTGCAAAAGTTGTGTCTTGCTCAACTTTTCAAGTGCAGACGGAAGCGTCAGCCAATCAGATTACTGTATGCAAATACACCAGCTCAGACAGTGGCCTATTGCTGACTAATTTCATTGGCTGACGCTGCTTTGACGATTGCGTCAGCCCCAACTTTAGACACGCCCTCTGTCAAGCGTTGATTCTGAATAGGGCGTAAGGGTGTCTGACAGCTGAAAATAGATCTGCTAGCAGATATCACAGCCTCTCTTACTCCTTGCACTTTAGTGTTAACATGTATTATTATTTATTTAGGATATTCATTTTCACATTCTGACTCCAATGCCTGATTATTAAATAGTTAAAATGACTATAATTAAATTAAATATTAAGAATGAAATATGAAGTGTTCTCTGGAAGAGTGCGCTTGGATGGTGATGATGTTATATTGTCATTCTGGCATTATATAATGAGTGACATAAAATGCTCTTAAAATGACATTAATATTGTTGATCGCAGTATATTTTAGTGCAATATATAGATTTGGTAGATTAGAGATATGGTGACAGGCCTAAATATGTGGCCTTTAAAGTGTCTTACGGCGCAGAACTCCTCGAAGGATATTCTCCCGTCTCCGTCTTTGTCTGCGTTGATGATGGTTTTATCCACGATCTGCTGCAGTTGCGTGTCCTTCAGGTTGTTGCCCACCATCATCTTCAGCACCTGGAACAGCTCGCCGTTGGAAATATAGCCGTCTTTGTCCATGTCGTAGATCCTAAAGGCGACTGAATGCAGAAAAACAGCAGATTACAGCAATTCTCTGAGACCAGAGTCGGGTGAGTAACAGTTGAAGTCAGAATTATTCGCCCTCCTGTGTGTTTTTCCCTAATTTCTATTTAGCGGAGAGCAGATTTTCTCAACACATTTCTAATCATAATAGTTTTAATACCTCATCTCTAATAACTGATTTATTTTCTCTTTGTCATAATGACAGTAAATAATATTAGACTAGATATTCTTCAAGACACTAGTGTTCAGCTTAAAGTGACATTTAAAGGCTTCACTAGGGTAAAGTTAGGGTAATTAGGGTAAATTTAGGGTGTAATGTGAACAGGACGCTGACAACAGAGTGCAGATCCAAACGCAGGGTCTATTATACAGGCAATCCAGAATCGTGGTCAATAAGCAGGCGGATGGTCAAAGGCAGGCAGCAGACATGAATAAGCAAACAAAACTAAGCAAAGATCGGTACATGGCAAGACTAGGCAAAGGAAACACGTCGTAATGTTCACAGTAACATATAACAATAACTTCTGTGTGTTTGTGTGCTGTATAAATAGCCCAGTGAGTCTAATCAATGGAGACTTGGAGCAGGTGTGTGTGTGTGTTGCATGACTGGATCTTGTAGTCCATATACTGGCAGATTATGTGATCTGTGTGTTTATCAGTGATCTGGAAGGATTAGATCGCTGGTGATTGTGACATAGGGTAATTAGGCAAGTCATTGTATATCAGTGGTTTGTATTCTAGAGACAATCCAACACTAATATTGCTGAAGGGGTGAATAATATTGAGCTTAAAATGGGTTTATAACAATTAAAAGCTACGTTTATTCTAGCCGAAATAAAACAAATCAGACTTTCTCCAGAAGAACAAATATTAGAGGAAATACTGTGAACAACTCCTGAATCTGTTTAACATCATTTGGGGAATATTTGAAAAAAAAGCACATATTCATAATTGATATAAATAAAACACAGATGTGATTGTGTGTGTGTGTGTGTGTGTGTATATATATATAGTAATTATGAACCTGAAAACGTTAAGTAATCTCGTACTTTATGATTTTTTTTTTTAGCAGAAAAGTTATTTAATTGCAGTATTTCCTAATTAATTATACCCATAACAGTGTGTGAGACATGCAGAAGACAGACAGTCAGACTGATACTCACAGCGCAGTTTCATCTCTTTATCTCCCTTCACACTGAACTGAGAGACGCCTTCGATGAACTCTACACACACACACACACGCACGCACGCACACACACACAGAGAGAGAGAGAGAGAGAGAGAGAGAGAGAGAGAGAGAGAGAGAGAAACACCAATACAGTTAATGCAGAAATAGAGATCACACTGTCCATGTTTCCATCCACCTATTTTTAATGCACAATTTGAAAATTTGAATAAAAAAATGCACATAAATGTTGAAAATGTAGGATTCATTTTTGATGCAATAATAAAAAAACTCCACGGATGCACTTCTCTGGAACAAAATCAGTGCCAAAAGCATTGAATTATAAAGCTTGTTGAATAGCACAAACTGAAAGAAATAATACACTGAATTAACAAGTTCTTGCATTTTAATAACTTGAATTCCAGGGTTTGTATTTTTAGGGCCTGAAATTTAACACAGCTGTTTATTTAAGCGGTGAATATTTCAATAAAAATATTTCAAACACGTTTTCATACTTAAAAATTCAATAATACATATTCAATTTCCTGATTTCATGTAAAATACTCAAAAGACAATTTCCAGTTCATTTTATTTCAGTTCAAAATTTTGCTTCCATAAATTCAGTGGGTCAAATTCGGCTGTTAAAATTCGACATTGACAAAATTAAATGCTTTTAAATACTTTAATTGAATTTGTAAATACTTTTTGTGCCATTATTAGCTTTTTTCCTCACCTATTGACTTGTATAAAAATCTTAAATTGGTTTACCTGCTAGTAAAAAAAGCAGCTGGAGATTGTCAATTGTTTGTCGCTTGTCCTGCAGTTCCCGGAAGTAATGTCAAATTTTGAGAGCCGAACTTGATCCACTGAATTTATGGAAGCGAATTTTTGAACTGAAATAAAATTGACTGAAAATGAAATATTTTTCACAGATATTGAATATTTTGTAAGAGAAATCTGGAAACTGAATATGAAATATTGAATTTATAAGTATGAAAATGTGTTTGAAATATTTTTAATTGAAATATTCACAGCTTAAATAAACAGCTGTGTTAAATTTCAGGCCCTAAAAATACAAACCCTGGCAATTCAAGTCATTAAAATGCAAGCAGTTGCTAATTTAATGTATTATTTTTTTCAGTTTGTGCTATTCGGCAAGCTTTTTATTTCGATTTTATATTCTATTTCTTTTTATTTATTTATTTTTATTACTACTGGCATTGATTTTGTTCCATACACTTCAGTCTGCGTGCTGTGATGTAGTTTTTGCCAGATGATGATCAGAATTCCCCAATGCATCTGTATTATTCTGCACACGAGGGATTGTTTTTAATGACATGCACCGATGAATTGTTCACCACAAAACTAGCAAAGTGAGCTAACAAAAGCAATATGGTTAGTTTTGATGTCAGGCGCACTTCAATTGCGCTTACCTTTGAAATCCACCTCTCCGTTCCCGTCGGTGTCGAATATGTCGATGACTCTCTGCACCAGCGGATTCTGCTGCAACTCGGGCAAGGACATGAACTCCTCCACGCTCAGAGATCCTGAATTATCCAGGTCGAGTTTCTTAAACCTCTTTCCCAGCCGTTTAATCTCATCAGCATCGACTGGACGAAGAGAAAAAGGAGAGAGACACAAAACAAACAAATAAACACCATTAGCAGACAAAACAACACACACACATCACACATTCTCCTTCCTATCTGCGCAGGAAATACACAGGATTCTTCAAACTGAGAGCCCAATACAACAGAGACAGAGTAAAACGGAGTGAAATTAGGGAAGGGGGACACACTCACATCTCACGCTGGTCATCCCACACAGAGGTTTACCCATGGTGCTGTATTTATGAGCCATGCGGGTCCACGATTCTGCCTAATACCGCGGATAAGCTCTGCAATATCAAACTCTCTCACTAACTATAAGCTCATTCAGGCGGTCACATGACCCACTCCATCCAAAGCTGCTACGTTTTTAACACACTGCTGGACTAAAACTCAATTATTGATCATATTTTATTTTATGCCCCTTATTACAAGATGTAAAATGCGTCCCTGATGTCTCTAGAGTGTCTAGAAACGTTTCAGCTCAAAATACCACACTAATAATGCTTCATGAGTCTTTGAAACTGCCTAATTGTGGTGTTTTGGTGACTGTCGCTTTAAATGCGAATGAGATAGTGCTCTTTTCAAAAGAGGGCGGAGCTACAAACACATAAGCTCTGCGAAATCAAACTCTTTCACCAACTATAAGCGCATTCAGGCTGTCACAAGACCCACTGCATCCAAAACTGCTGTATAAACTGCTTTATTTGACCACACTGTTAGACTAAACTCATTTATTGATCACACTTTATTTTAAGATCCCTTTTACAATATGTAAAATGAGTCTCTGGCGTCCATGGAGTGTTTTTTTTGTGAAGTTTCAGCTCAAAATACCACACTAATAATGCTTCATGAGTCTTTGAAACTGCTTAATTGTGGTGTTTTGGTGACTGTCGCTTTAAATGCAAATGAGATTGTGCTCTTTTCAAAAGAGGGTGGAGCTACAAACACATAAGCTCTGCGAAATCAAACTCTCTCTCTAACTATAAGCTCATTCAGACGGTCACATGACCCACTGCATCCAAAACTGCTGTATAAACTGCTTTATTTGACCACACTGCTGGACTAAACTCATTTATTGATCACACTCTTTAATTTATGCCCCTTTTTATAAGAAGTAAAATGCATCTCTGATCTTTCTAGTGTGTGTAGAAACGTTTCAGCTCAAAATACCACACTAATAATGCTTCATGAGTCTTTGAAACTGCCAAATTGTTGTGTTTTGGTGACTGTTGCTTTAAATGCAAATGAGATAGTGCTCTTTTTAAAAAGGGGTGGAGCTACAATGACCCACTTCATCCAAAGCTGCTGTATAAGCTGCTTTATTTGAACATACTGATGGACTAAACTCATTTATTGATCAAACTTTATTTTATCCAGATGTAAAATGAGTCACTAATGTCTCTAAAGTGTGTGGTGAAGTTTCAGCTCAAAATACCACCCTAATAATTCTTTATAACTCTCTAAAAACTGACCCTTTTAGGCTTTAATCCTAATTGTGTGGTGTTTTGGTGACTGTCGCTTTAAATGCAAATGAGATTGGGCTTTTTTTTTAAAGGGGTGGAGCTACAAATACATAAGCTCTGCAATATCAAACTCTCACTAACTATAAGCTCATTCAGGGGGTCACATGACCCACTTCATCCAAAGCTGCTGTATAAACTGCTTTATATGAGCACACTGCTGGACTAAACTCAATTATTGATCATATTTTATTTAATGCCCCTTTTTATAAGAAGTAAAACACAACTCTGATATTTCTAGTGTGTGTAGAAACGTTTCAGCTCAAAATACCACACTAATAATGCTTCATGAGTCTTTGAAACTGCCAAACTGTGGTGTTTTGGTGACTGTCGCTTTAAATGCAAATGAGATAGTGCTCTTTTCAAAAGAGGGCGGAGCTACAAACACATAAGCTCTGCGATATCAAACTCTCTAACTATAAGCTCATTCAGACTGTCACAAGACCCACTGCATCCAAAACTGCTGTATAAACTGCTTTATTTGACCACACTGTTAGACTAAACTCATTTATTGATCACACTTTATTTTAACAAGATGTAAAATGAGTCTCTGGCGTCCCTGGAGTGTATTTGTGAAGTTTCAGCTCAAAATACCACACTAATAATGCTTTATGAGTCTTTGAAACTGCTAAATTGTGGTGTTTTGGTGACTGTCGCTTTAAATGCAAATGAGATTGTGCTCTTTTTAAAAAGGGGTGGAGCTACAATGACCCACTTCATTTAAAGCTGCTTTATTCGAACATACTACTGGGCTCATTCATTGATCAAACTTTATTTTATCCCAATGTAAAATGAGTCTCTGATGTCTCTAAAGTGTGTGGTGAAGTTTCAGCTTAAAATACCACACTAATGCTTTATAACTCTCTGAAACTGTCCCTATTAGGCTTTAATCCTAATTGTGTGGTGTTTTGGTGACTGTCGCTTTAAATGCAAATGAGATTGTGCTCTTTTCAAAAGGGGCGGAGCTACACACACAAGCTCTGCGATTTCAAACTCTCTTTCTAACTATAAGCTCGTTCAGTCGGTCACATGACCCACTCCATCCAAAGCTGCTGTATAAACTGCTTTATTTGACCACACTGCTGGACTAAACTCATTTGTTGATCACACTCTTTATTTTATCTAGATGTAAAGTGCATTTCTAATGTCTCTAGAGTGTGTTTGTGTGAGGTTTCAGTTCAAAACACCACAGAAATAATGTACTCTAACTCTCTGAATCTGACCCTTTCAGGCTTTGATCTTAATTGTGTGGCATTTGTCACTGTCGCTTTAAATGCTAATGAGATTGTGCTCTTTGAAGGAGATTAAATGATGACAGAATTGTCATTTTTGAGTGAACTGTCCCTTTAATGGTGAGAACTGGTACTCAAACTAAAGCGTAACTCATTTATTTGATCAAAAATATGGTAAAAACTATTTTCAATTTGACCAGGTGATGTGGCTTAGAGACTAAATGTGTGGGTGGTGTGTGTAGGAGTGTGTGTGTGTGTGGGCGTCTGCGAGTTTGATGAGGACTCTTGTCATACTGAAGAGCTCAGACTCGGCATGTGTTCAGAAGAGCTGATGAATAATCAGAATACAGACGAGGAATAATGGAGGAAAGCTCTCAACACACACACACACACACACACACACACACAAAACACACACACACAAAACACACACACACACACACAAAAAACACACACAAACAAAACACACACAAACAAAACACACACACACAACACACACACAAAACACACACACAAAACACACACACAACACACACACAAAACACACACACAAAACACACACACACACAAACAACACACACACAAACAACACACACACACACACACACACAAAACACACACACAACACACACACAAAACACACACACAAAACACACACACACACACACACACACACACAAAACACACACACACACAACACACACACAAAACACACACAAAACACACACACAACACACACACACAAAACACACACACACACACACAAAACGCACACACACACAAAACACACACACAAAACACACACACAAAACACACACACAAAACACACACAACACACACACAAAACACACACACACAAAACACACACACACAAAACACACACACAAAACGCACACACAAAACGCACACACACACACAAAACACACACACAAAACACACACACAAAACACACACAACACACACACAAAACACACACACACACAAAACACACACACACAAAACACACACACAAAACACACACACAAAACACACACACAAAACACACACACACACACACACAAAACACACACACACACAAAACACACACACACAAAACACACACACAAAACACACACACACAACACACACGAGTTTCAGAACAAATGAAGCAGGAGTCTGGAGCTTTTTACTGCATAATCAGCAGTGTGTAAACACGGAAATACCACAGTGGGCAGCACTGTGTGGAGTTTGCATGTTCTCCCCGTGTTGGTGTGGGTTTCCTCCGGGTGCTCCGGTTTCCCCCACAGTCCAAACACATGCGCTATAGGGGAACTGAATAAGCTAAATTGTCCATAGTGTATGTGTGTGAATAAGTGTGTATGGATGTTTCTCAGTGATGGGTTGCAGCTGGAAAAACATCCGTTGAACAAAACATTTGCTGGATAAGTTGGCAGTTCATTCCGCTGTGGCGACCCCGGATTAATAAAAGGACTAAGCCGAAAAGAAACGAATGAATGAATAATATACCCGATTATAATGTCATATAATATGATCAATTCTTTTTTTGAAAAGATGATGACTTTTCTATTCCCTAAAAATGTATATTAATAAAATTAGAAATAACTTCTTGATTGATTTCCTCATGCACATTAGCTCCATGCACGCTTTGTTTTGCTCCAATGAGAAAATTCATAACTGAGCTGCAATTATAATTGAGTTTCACCATGCAAACACATGCATCGTATAAATAAACCGCAATTGCATTGGTCCGAATGCTGGAATGTGCTGCTCGCTGCTTCTCTTCATGCATGACAGCTTGTTGTTGTCAGTTTGAGATGCATCAGTGTTTCTCTGAGAGCTGGACAGGACCCGAGGAGCTCATATTTATTTATTTCAATATATATTTATAGGCGTGAGGTCAGCAGAAGCCCAGCAGACGTGCAGGGAAACCCTCAGCAGACTCGGGTTATTCTGAGCTCCGGGACACACTCCACATATGGCCTTGTGTAAAGTAGGACATCAAGCTGTCAGTTCTCAAATATTAAAGGGTTAGTTCACCCCAAAATGAAAACTGTTATTAATTGATCATCCTCATGTCTTTACAAACTGCTGAGACCTTCACTCATCTTCAGAACACAAGCGAAGATATTTTGGATGAAATCTGAGAGCTCAGGCGATTAAGATTGCATAATTCACTATCATTATTACACAATCAATCATCAGCCAAATTTGATAATTGTGACAGCCTAAATCAGACAATAACCTGTCAAATCACCCAATCAGACAATCGATTGAAAAATCAACAAATAAGACTATTATTTGCCAAATCATCAAATCAAACAATCAAGTACCAAATCACACTATTATTCACCAAATCAGACAAACAATTACCAAATCAGATAATCTTTCACCAAATCAGGCAATTAATTGTGAAATCAATCAGTCACCAAATCAGACATTTGCTAAAATCACAAATCAGACAACTAAATCACCAAATCAGACAATCAAATCACCAAATTAGACAATAAATGGCCAAAATCACCAAATCAGACAACCGAATCAC